CAGGTTTGCCAAACCAGGAGCCACAGCAGCTTGAAGACCTTTTGGAGAGGTGGTGCCTCCTGGCATGGGGCAGCCAAACTACTGCCTTTCACAGAAATAGAATTTGTCTCTTGGAGGTGGCAGATCTGAATCCTGATAAGTTTTCCTCTGGCACAACTGGCTTCCAGTCTGGGACGCACAATCCAGCACATAACATTTGAAATCTTCCTGATACTCTTCCCTATATTTTACTGACTCCCAAAGGAATTTTCTGGAGTCTTACTACCACCTGTAGGACAAGGAAGTTGGAATCGTATCTTTTTATTAAGTTGTTGGTTGCTCATTTTCTATGTAATTTTCCTCGTGGCTTAACACAGTACGATAACATATGGGTTTGGTAGCTGGGTTGGCACAATACAGGGTTTTTATTACTCAAGGGTCCTGATGGGAAAAAAGGTGAACAGAAGTCAGTGATGTTCCCTGGCAGCACAGAAGGTCAGTGCCATCCTGGGCAATGCTACCAGCAGGTTGAGGGAGATTATCCTTTCCCTTTTTGTCAGTCTTGCAGTGCTGAGTCTGATTCTGGGTTTCCCAGTACAAGGGAAACATGAACATGCTGGGCAGAGTTCAGCAGAGGGCCACAGATACGAGGGAGGCCCTGGAGTATGTCTTTTACGAGGAAAGGCTGAGAGCTGGAGCTAATCAGCCTGGAGAAGAGAAGGCTCAGGGGGATCTTAGCAATGTGTATCAATATTTGATGGGAGGAGTGAGGAAGACAGAGCCAGAATGTGGTCGGGGGTACACATTTGCCACAACGAGAGACAAGGGGCACAAAGTGAAAGACAGGAATTTCCATTTAAACAGAAGAAAAAAAAAAATATTCACTATGAGGGTGAATGCCCCACAGGCTGTGGAGTCTCAATCCATGGAGATATTCAAAACCCAAGCGGCCATGATCCTGATCAATCTGCTTTAGGTGGTGCTTCTGGAGAAGAGAGGATGGACTAGGCAATCTCCGGAGGCGCCCTCCAGCCTCAGCCAATCCGTGGTTCTCTGATTACCATACAGCACATAGTTTGTGGCTCAAGTGATAACAAAGGCTTGCATTTTTTCACTTTGATAATGTTTGCTTATTATAAGTACTTTACAGCTTATGGGTTTAATCATAATAAAGGAAAACATTTTTATTGTTGTTCTGCATTAAGAAATACTGAATGTTGTACCCAAATGTTTGCCAATGAGAATAATTGACTTGATAATAATCTTGATCTGGTGATCTTGTAAGATGGACGGGTATGGGCTGAAGAAGATCACGTGGAAAGATTTGAGCCTGGTTCAGAAACCCATTAGGAGTCAAGAGAGCCTTTTGTGACCTCTAGCATCCCAAGAAGGGAGAAACTTAGCATCAAAGCTGAGGAGAAGCTGGTGAGAAGAGAGGCTGCTTCTCCTTATGTGTGAGAATTGCTGGCAGGCACTGGCTTGCCAAGTTTGCTGCTGCTGGCTCCTTTCACTGGGAACTTTACCAGGAGGCTGTTTATTCCCATTCCAGCTTCAAGAGAGAGCCCTGGCCTTTATAGACCTGCAGGGATGAGGCTATGAAAAAATGTAACGTTTTTGCTCCCAGACCTTTGTGTTCATTTATACTGTTAAATCTGTGTGTTGTATCCCTTCTGTTTACTTGATTTCCAGAGCTTAAGCAAAGCATCTTTTTTCACATCTGCACATTTCCTTTCATCCCATTCATGCCTGAAAAATATCTAACAATATTTCTAGTGGATGTTCTTGCCAGATTTACCTTTCAGAATATTTTTTCATTTACAAAGTCATTATTTTATAACACAAAGTTCTTTTTTTATTTATTTTTTGATCCACATTTTTGGACTGCTGGGAATTGACTGGCATTTTTGGCATTGAGTTGTGATCCACAGTAACCAGCAGACTGTCAATCTTTCATCATCTTAGACTTGTCACTCCAACATAATGTAAAATGAAGGTTTAGGATGGATTGAGGAACTGTATGAATTTGTAAGTTGACCTTTCTCTCCTCCTTCCATTCTCTTCCTGCCAAAGCAATGATATCCTTGCCTTTCACAGCACAGTTATTTGGGCATGCAGTAAAATAAAAACAATAAAAAATAAAAACAAGGGCAAAACAGGTCTGCTCAGTTGCTTTAATTATATATTTCTAATTGAACCTCCTTATTTTCCATTAATTTATGCAACAGCTTCCCTTCGCTTTGTTTCTGTGCAATGATGCTTTAGAAGCAGTGTGCCTGCTCACAACAGATGGACACCAAGTGGCACTGCTGCCTATGTGTAGGGGCATGGGGATTTCTCTTGCATTAGGAGGACAGCCGGGGTGACTCAATTTTAGGCTGCTCCAACTTCCCAGATGATCGGAGTCCTCTAAATCCTTCTGCCACAGGTCATCTCTGACCTGGGAACAGGCAGGGTGAGGGGCAGTGGTGAGGCTATGATGTGAGGCTCCTCCAACACTCATTGTGAATGTTGGGACACTAATGGCGGTTTCTGTAGGAGGAGAAGCGATCTTGGTCAGGCTTTCCCTCAACTATCACCAGTTCTTACCTTGTGATGGTGAAGAGAAGACCCTGGCCAGGAGGGGCTGTTAGTTACATTTTGATTTCTCATGTCCTCTTGCACCACCAGCCGGGTTTTCCCCCATCGTGATGCAACACGAATTTTGTGGAAAATTACTTATGTACAACTTAGGCATCTTCATACAGGAGGAGGAAGAGCAGGCTACATTGCCAAGAAAATTGTTCCAGATTGCCATAGATACTCTCACTTGCAATGTGAAGCCAAACAAGAAATACTGAGCACTGGGGGTTTTCTGGGCATTTGGTTTTTATTACAGCACAGTCCTGCACAACTGTTTCCTGTAATTCCCTGTTAAAACACCATACCTTGCAGCTGCTAGCTACTATTTCTCAAAACAGACATCTGTGTAGATCTCTGTAGCCATGGATTGGCCACATAAAACAGCTCCTGTGTTGGCCTTGAGTGACTCTTAAAATTAAGAGAGCACTGAAGTGCCACAATTCAAATACATGTAAATGGTTCACTGATGCAGACCAGTGTTTTTCAGAGCTGGTGCCCTCTAGAGCTAACCTGCTTGTTTTTCTCAGTTTGGTACAACTACTTAGTTTGTTAACAAGTAGAAGAGCAAGAAATTTGTCAAAATGCAGCATTGCTTGCTTACAGCAGAAATGTGACCATTTTGGCTTGAAGTTTCTGAGTTGGTTCCTCTCCACACACTAGTATTAAGATCTTTTCTATCTGCTTCTTTCTCTACAGAGAGCACCAAGTATAAAACCACCAACCTCTTGTTACCTACTTTCAAGTTCAGGGCGTGAAGAACTAACTAAACATTTGTTTGACATTATAAAGGAGCTGGGGCATATTTATGCTTCCTACTTACAGCGTGGAAAGCATGTGACACACAGAACAAGGCCCTAGAGCTGTTTGGTCAAATAATGCTGGAAGGCACAGTAAATGAAGTTACAGGAATACACTTGTAATGCACTTCTGGGCCTGGATTTTCTTCCTCAGCTGGAGAACATTTTTTAGGCCACGCTTCAGTTTCTCCATTGATAAAATGTAAAGGATGTTTTCCAGTGTCCTTTCCAATATACCATTTGAATGCCAGTAAAAATACCAAATTTAACACAAATTAGATTACACTGCACAACTCCCTCTGTCACCTCTTGTGATGTTTTCACTGGGTGTTAGGCAGCAACCCTCAGTTCTTTCCTTTTTTTTCTCTTGGCTTTCTTAGGACTTCTAAAATAGTTTGAGGCCAGCATTGAGCTCCATGGGTTTGTTGGCATAGCTGTGCCAGCTTGGATTTTGAACGGCTCTCTCCCAGCCAAGGCTGCTGGGCTGGCAGTGCAGTCCGAGTGCAACTCTGTTGGTAGAGACACATCAATTTGAAGGTGGCATTCTCTCCTCTTTTTTGTCAACTGCCTGCATTGCCTTTGAAGCAAGTTACGTGTTTCCAGTCTGCTTCTAGTCATGTGTATGCTACAGATAAAAAAAAAAATGCTCCGCTGACATCAACTAAAATATTTATGTATGTGTGTGGTCAAAATAACATGGGGAGATTTTTTCCTTTAGCTGAGTTGCACTTTGGGAAGCAGGCAGTGATGAAACACAGTGACAAATATGGCCCAAATAATTTTGAATTGTTTATCATAGTTAATGCATATCAAAGTTGGCATGTGTAGGTTATAAAGAGGATGTTTGGTTTTCTGGAGCATTATTTTCTCAATTTCACATACAACGCTGAGAAACAAGATGACCTGAATTTTTACTGTCCAATATGATGGATACTACGAAGCTTCTGCTAAGGGTTCTAGATGTTGACAGTGAGAGGTCTTCTCATCTGACATGCCAGCAGTAAAGAAGGTTAATGGGGCACTGGAAAGCTGGTTTTTTACCCAGCTGCGTTCCCAGTCAGATTTCCCCCGTGATTTCCGTAGATGGCATAATCACATTTCCATGTGTATTGGACAAAAATGGGTCCTGAAATCAGTCCACACTGTTACCAAAGCAAAAAGTATGTCCATCTTTTGTTTTTTTCTCCAGTGGATTGCCCCTCCAGTCACAACTCTGATAATCCATAACCAGGAATATTTTGTACTGCTATTTGTTGCTACTTGCACACAAAGAATTGCTTTGGTTTGTGGAGGTATGACCTCATCATGCTCTTGAAGTTGCAGTTTCTGAAAGACAGAAGAGATTTTCCTATTGGAAGTTGAAACATTACATATATGACTTATTTTTAGCTCTGCAAGAAGACTTGAGGTTTTAGGAAAAAAGGATGTTCCCCATTCAGCAGATTCTTATGAAACTCCAGGTCAATAGGTTGGAAAGATGGATGCATTGACTAAAATAATTTTGAGGTTACTGGTTTGACAGAAAAGGTGTTACTTTAACGCTTATATTGCTTTATTTTGCAAACTTAAGTGTCTTTTTGTTTGTTTTCTGTTTGTTTCCCACAGAAACGCTCCAGAGGTCAAGTGCTATTTGACAAAGTGTGTGAGCATCTGAACCTTTTGGAAAAAGACTACTTTGGGCTAACATACAGAGACACAGAAAACCAAAAGGTAACCCACAAAAATGCAGGTGGCCTTTGCCATGTCAACATCAGAACTCCCTGAGACACTCCACAGACAGCTGCAAACAATCCAGAAGTTGGTTTTATCTTCCTTGCCGAGTTCCATAGACACAGTTTGAGCAATTGTTTCTTTGTGACTCTACTTCTCAAGAGCATCTCCTGTGTTTCCCTTTGTTCCCTCTCTTTCAGCAATTTATGACATAGAAGGTATTAATCATATAGCTGGTGCTCTTTCTAGTATGATTTATTCCTTTACTGTCAAGATGAAAGTCAGATTTACACTTACAGATACACTGCAAAACATATAATACTAAAATATGGCTTAATAATAGTGGTTTGGACACAAATAGGCAGGAGATGTCTGACCATTCCTGCTAACTGCTAAGATAAGGGATGGCTCTTAGCCTTGACTTTATCTTAGCATTGTTGTTGATTTGACTAAAGACATTAGTTTTCAGAAGCAGTTGGTAACCACAGTGAATCACATTCTGCTTTCCTGCATTCCAGCTTCCATATGAAACAAGCTGTGTATTACAAGTGTTGAAGATGATCTAATGTGAAGATGTTTGGGACATGGTACCATGAGAGTATCAAAGGATCATTTAAAATATGTTGTGCTATTTTGGCATTTTAAGATAAATATTTTAACAGAAGCCAATACAAAACCTCTTAGCTATATGCACAGCAGCTCAGCAGAGCTCACAACTGAAGGTATTTTGTGCTTTGTGTGGCCTCAAAGGTCTTCCCTGATGGAGCTGGAGCTACTACTACTTTTTAGCTGTTTATGTCTTGTGGGAGCAATAGTTGTGTTTTCTATGCTTCCTTTTGTTTCAAATATATATGATATGAAAGAAATCGGTCTTTCTGTTTGTTTTTCCCCTTGCTTTACAGACTTCTTTGTTTCTAATTCAGAAAATCACTTAAGCAGATACTTGGTCCATGCCAGCACAAGGTCATGCTTAAGCATGTGCCTAGTTTTGAGTTTTGAGAAAAGCTAGGCAGAAATGTAAGTGCATTTTCAGATAGGTATGCTTTCCTATGGGAAAGAGAAGCATGGATTCATTACTAACATGTGGTTTAGAAGCACTAAATATTTATAGGTCACCAGTTACTTTACAGAGCTGAACAGTTAAAAGAACAACTGCCTGCCACCCATTTTATTGATCAATAACATGCATATTTTTAATGTAAAAGTACTTAGCAATTCATCTCCATCCTCTGGCACATAACTTCCAGCCACACAACATACGTGCCCACATCCCATGTCATCTTTCTAAACAGAAACCCTAATGTGTCTTTAACTTCTTGGTGCATAATGTGCTTTTGTGCTCAGCAATAGCTGGAGATCTTCAGGCTCAGGTTTTGCACCACAGAGCAGGTTTGGACAGCTGCAAACCGGTTGTTTTTGTTGGGGAGGGATTGTTGTTCTGCTTGTTTGGTATTTCTTTAGTGTTTTATTGTCTCTCTGATACATTTGTTTATCTTTCTTTGGAGAAAGTGGAACTTTCCTGGGGAAAGCGAACTTCTTGTTCTGGGCTCTGACGCATTTTAAATATTAATTTGATTCTCTTAGAGGTCAAGACAGCAGAGGCACTGAGACCCCAAGCTGCTGTGTGCCTCCTCCAGAGGAATTTCATCTGCCTATTGGCATGTATGGAGTACTAACACATTACTGGGATAATTCTCCACCTCCTCAGCAGGGGTTTTGTCTTGCATAGTCACTGGGCTCTGCATGGTGTGGATGCGGGCAGAGGTACTGTGGTTCTGCCTCTGATTTTCCCTGAAGAACCCCTCATGCTCATGGTGCATTGCAAACATCTCTACTCTGCACTTGCTTATCCTCTAGCAAGTCTTTTCAGCCTTTCCAGGATTGGAGGAAAAAAAAAATCAATCAAAAACACCTCTTTATAACAAACTAGTAGAAATGCAGTTTTCCCTGAAGATACTCTGCAAAAAAAAGATCTCTTTGGGTTCATTTTGCCAATTCCCATTTTTTTATTGTTTTATTTCAAATCATTCAGGCCCTGAAAGTCTGTGAAGGTTAATAAAAATCCTGTTTCTACCAAGGGCCGTGTCTTGAAAATTAGTGTTAGCCCTGCCTACTGCTTCTCCAAGGAGAAAGGGGTGGAAGAGCTTCACATGTTCTAGCTTTGACTCATAGCACTGTTTTAAAAATAATGTTTATTGTGTTTTCTAAGTCAAATTGAAAAAAGGAAACATTTTCTTTGCAGAATTGGTTGGACCCTGCCAAGGAAATCAAGAAGCAGATCCGAAGTAAGTTTGTTATCGTTGCCCCCTTCTACACGTCTCCCCATGGGGACAAAGCATATTTCACAGTCATCTTTTGTATCCTGTCCCAAGTCTTTGGCAAAGGAATTATGTACATCCTTTATAGATTTTTTATGCTATGATGATGGTGAAGCATTACTGATGCTCGTAACACATGAACTTGCGTTGCTGAAAACAACTTGACATTTGCAGTGATGCAAAATCCTGAAGTTTGACATTAAGCAATGTAACCTTAGGGACTAGGCCATGTATTTGAATTATTTCTTGCATTACTGATATTTATATCTTATCCAGAAACACTGCTCATGCCCCATACTGAAATAATTCACTGACACAAAATAGTACTCTATCTAAAATACCTTTCCTTTCTTCATTTCAGAAGATTGATCTCTGTTCCAAAAATTACCATGAATTTTCTGATTCACATTAATCTTTTTAAAAGCTCAGTTGTTATAACTAGGCATCTAGTTATAAACTTAGTATAAGTTTCTACTAAAAGCAAAAATATATATTCTAAATCTCTATTTCTATTTCACTTTGTGGCTTCTTATATTAGAAATTAAAAAACCACTCAAAGGAAAACATTTTTGAGACTGCTGGGCTCAAAACTTGACTTGCATTTTTTTATTTTCCCTCATTGTTAAAAATTGTCAAAATACTTATGTGTATGACTTTTGTGGGCAGAAAAGCCCCAGTAATTTTTTTTCTTTGCACATTTTGTAAATGACCTCTTCTAACACTTTTGCTTCCACAAACAAATTTATCTGGTAGTTCACATTAGTTGGGTAATGCCTGGCAAAAGAACTCTCTTCCCTCTCCAAGATTAAAAGGGTTAGTTTACACTGGTGGGAAAATTTCCCCACTTACAGTGAGGAATTTCCCCACTTACTGTGAGAAACTTCCCCTTTTCTCCAGTATTATTTTCATTTCAAGTAAGTGATCTGCATTACAAAGTAATGTGCATCGGAAAATTTCCCCACTTATTGTGAGGAATTTCCCCACTTACTATGAGAAACTTCCCCTTTTCTGCAGTATATTTTCATTTCAAGTAAGTGATCTGCAATACAAAGTAACGTACATAGATTAGATGTGTGGATGACCAAAGTGAATGGGACTTCCCATGGGATAAAATTTCCTTGTTGCTTGTAAGAACAGTGTGGTTTGGGGTTTTGTTATTGCTTTTCATTTGCGTTCAAGTCATGTGCTAGTGTAACCTGACCCTTTTTTTTCAGAATAGCTTCTAAATTTACCTTCCATGTTCAACTCTCTTTTTAAATCTTGAATTCTGTCTTAAACCTTTTTTTACAACCTTTAAAGCTAATACTCCAGAAATAATTTTGCTAACTCTTGAGATACAAACCAGTATCCATCCCATGGGTCTACTAAATTTAGTGAAATAATTAAACAAGAATTCCCCAGTGCTATGTACTTTTGCAGTCAAACTCTCTGTTTGTCCTTGCAGTTTTGTCTGCACAATAATTTATGTCTGCTGAAGAAAGGAGCTATGTGCTGAGGCAGCACTCTGAGAGGATGCTGTGAGCTGATTTGGGCAGCTAGACCTCGGCACATCACCCTGCTCCAGAGCCCATTCGTACTCTGGCTTGTGATGTTTCCTGTGCCTCTCTGCTTTGAGTTATTGGTTTTTAAAACTTGTACAGACTGTGTGGTGCTTACTTTCAATAAACCTTGTCCTCAGACTGAGGTGTTTTTTTTAGTATTAGTAATAAATTACTGCTCACTCAGAGTCCTCACTTCAGTGGAAATCCTGCTAAATAAGAAAAGAGCTGTAAAATCTGATCTAAACAGTATCTACTGTAATATCTTCAGTATGATGTGTGGGAAAAGTATTCTAAAACCTGTTCTTATTAATTGCTTGTCTGGGATATTTTTAAGTCTGCTGGTGATTGAATAGCATGAGCATCTCTGTTTGCGTTTGCAGTGTACTTTCAGTCAATCTATGTTCTTTTCCAGGTGGTGCTTGGCAGTTTGCATTTAATGTGAAATTCTACCCTCCAGACCCTGCCCAGCTATCTGAGGACATTACCAGGTGTTTTAAACATTAAATACCTTTTTAGAAGTGGCTTAAAAGCTGTTCCTGGTAGCACTTACACTCTAATTATACAAGAAAAGAAATGTTTTATATTCCAATTGTCTCTCTTTTTCATATGAACTTGTGGAAAATATGCAATACTTGGACAAAAAAGATAGTGTGAACAGTATCTATCCTCTGTGTTATGAAGAATTTTGTGTAGTTTAAGCCTAAACCCCAGATTTTTCAATATGTAAATTCCTTTGAGTTGATTTTAATATTCACAAAGGTGCCTGATGCCCATTTTTGCCAGTGGTAACAAGTTATTACTGTAAGTAAAACCATGACTGTGAAAGAAAAAGCAGTGAGATAATGTGGTTTCGTGATCATACTGAATCCAAAACAGAGCAATCACTGTATCAGCTACTTAGGGAAAAATGAACTCTTTCCCAGCTGAAGCCAGGATAGATGAGAATAAGCATGCATATGCAAATTTTGTATATCATTTGACAAAGTAAGCAATCGATGTGCATGGAATAGAGAATATGATGGTAATTAATAGCTGCTCCCTCCTCTCCAAGTTACTCAGCTCTGCTGATGCGCCTCTACTCTTTGGTTTTGTATTCACATTGCAACCACAACAAAAAAAAAACAAAACAACAAACCTCACCTTATTTCCTCCTTGGAAGGAGGCACAAATGTTTTGATCCATGATGAGTTTTTGTGCTATCAGCAAACTGTTCCCCAGCCTGTTGCAACATTTGGCAGCCATTGAATATTTTTAACCTTCAGTGTTTTATGGACTATTTGTTGCTGTTAAGGTAGCATGAAGCCTTTGGCCTTGATCAGGGCCCCCTGTGGTAGGTACTGTGCAGAAAGACAATGTGCCAAGAGTTCACAACTGAACAGAGGACTTCCAAAGGAAAGGATTGCTTTATTCCTCTTCAGACTCCTAAATTTCCCCTGGGAGCTCTACCTTTGCCACCAAACCAATGCTCTTCACTTTTTTTTCTGTTTTCATGTATCTGGTAAAACCTTCCACTGCATATTTCTGTGGTTTTAACAGCACTTACTGTTTAAATGTATTTTTGAGAAAGCAAAATATGTTGCTAAAGAGACAGCTTATGTTTTTTGAATGACTTGGGGTTCTGCTATTCTTAAATGAACACTCTATGAGAGTTTTAATTATTTTTTTCTCCTGAAAGAATTATCAGGTAGTTTTATATATAAGTGATTTATGATAGAAATCTAGTATGTTTAATGGGTATTTCTTCATCTAGGTCACTAAACAAAGTAATAACTTTCTTTAGAGATCTCCATGCTGCTGTATAAAGATAAATTAGGTCTTCCTACTCATAAATTAGGCAAGAGCTTGGGCTTTTGGGGGTTTAGGGATTGTTTTTACAAAACTACTATTGCCCTTGTAAATGGCTGAAGATCTCTGGACTTGGCTGTCTGCAAATGCAAATTGGAACCGAGACCTCTTTCAAGTGCTCGGGCGGCGCTCTTTGGGGGCAGCAGTGGAGGAGCCCTGTGTGAGCTGCTCTGGTGCCCCCTTGCAGGTACTACCTCTGCCTGCAGCTGAGAGATGACATCGTTTCGGGTCGGCTGCCCTGCTCGTTCGTCACGCTGGCCCTGCTGGGCTCCTACACCGTGCAGTCGGAGCTCGGCGACTACGACCCCGACGAGTACGGCAGCGACTACATCAGCGAATTCCGCTTTGCGCCAAACCACACTAAGGAGCTGGAGGACAAAGTGATCGAGCTGCACAAGAGCCACAGGTAAGCAGAGGGCATCAGTGTGAGATCTAGCCTGCTTCAGGTACCATCTTGGTGGATCAGGAGATGTTAAATTCTGCAGTGGTGTACTTAATATTTTTCTGGCAAGATTCCTCTGTGTGTCTTTGGATAGAGAAGAGCTTTGCAGCATGTGAGTTAACAGGGTCTGCACTAGAGTTGTGGCTGTGGTAGGTACCCAGCTACATAAAGGGTATGACTATAGTTCTGACAGGCTGAAAATGTTTTCCAGCTGCTGGATTTTCTTTTGGTTTTTGTTTCCTTAACATTTATGCTAGAACTGGTTACTTTTCCACAGGGGAATGACACCTGCAGAAGCTGAGATGCATTTCCTGGAGAATGCCAAAAAACTATCAATGTATGGAGTAGATCTCCATCATGCCAAGGTATGTATTTTGGTTCTTTCACTGGCCATATGTCTCCTGTGCCATAGTACTTGTATCTGCATGGACTCCCTGATTTATTTTTTCTTGCATTTTTGAGACAGGAAATTTGTGGGATGAATGATGTGTCAACATGAGGAAAGGTGTTTCATGAAATAAGCAGAAGTATGTCTTGTAACCATAGCATAACGTATCCTATAGATTCAAAGACGTTGCACATCAACTTTCATGTTGATTAAACAATGCTGTCCTTGAGGGAAATACTGAGTGGATGAGGTGATGAGGGAGGATTTTAGAAGCTGTCCAGACAGTGGTGAATTTTCTGTTCATTCAGCTACATTTTCCAGTTTAGTAAGGCCAACCATGCTATCTTATCTGGATAGCAGATCATTTTTATGCTGCAAAGGACTTCCAAGCAATTATTTAGCTGTGCTGGAAACCTAATCAGATTGATGATAATGGGGAGAGAGCAGCTTGTCTCTTTCCTGAAGTGTGGTTGTTGTGGTTGACAGGGAGGGCAGTAATTCTCCTGGAAACATTCTCCCATGATCAAGTAGTTTCTCTAATCATCAGCAGGCTAAGTTATGAATAAAACATGGTCATTCTTATTGCGGCTGGAGAAAGTCACTTTTTTACCTTGTATTGGTTGACGGATTTTTGGTTTTAAGGTTTTTTTCCAAATAAATAATTACTATTGTTTTCTTCACTCTTCAGAGTAAGACTAATGGATTTTAACATTTTTGAGGTTAGCAAGCATCCTTGGCAAATGAATATGGAACCAAAGAATTCTGCCCTGTGGAGGGAACTGCATTTTCCGTAAAGGTCAAATTATTGTGAGCCTGCTTTTTTGCTGCAGCAGCTCCTTTAAAGAATTGAGATAAATTTGCAGCTTGGATTTTGAAAGAGCCTGCAGCCATATCCCTGGGGCATTTCATAGGAGCTGTGCATGTGTGTTACAAAATTCAAGGCAATCTTTTGTGTTCTGTTAATTGCCTTCACTGAAAATGAAGAATCTGCGTACAGCTCAATGGGCAACTACCAGGAGGGATGCCACTGCCTTCCCTGTATCCTGCAGATACACACACTGTCTTGAGGCACATTTGGAGCAGAGAAAAATGGATTGGCAAATGTCACTTGATAGCTTTTTTCCCAATGCAAAGAAGTCCAAAAACCAGCAACTAAATGGATTACCATTTAAAATAAGTTACAGGCTTTGTTACTGAAAATTTTACATAACATAGCATTAAGGCCTAAGTATTTTTTTCAGAATATTGTAGAAAAGCTGTGAAGTTTAAGATGGGATATTATAAGATAAGCATTTTATTTATTCTTTCCTGAAAAAGTATTACTATCCTGGTTTGCTCTTCTTTTTTTTTGTTTTTTTTTTTTTTCTTATCTAAAGACTCAGCAAGAAAAGTTAGTAGAAAAGCTAATCTCCAAACTGATGCTCTTTATTTTAAAAAGCTGCAGTGATAACCAAGATGTGTCTATCTGTGGGTTAAGGAACCCCACAGTCATCTTGAAACCTGAACTGAAGGTGGGAAAAGTAGACTCTGCATGAGAAGTCATGTTTAGTTTTAATTAGGTCTGCCAGTGAGATTTGATGATGTCAGGGTAGGGGACAAGTATCTCTGCATTCTTTTGGAAGTCATGCCACAGCAAATGTCTCTATGTAAATGTCAATTCATTAAGGTTGTGCCAGTATTTTCAGTGTTGGACAGATGTTGGACTCACCAGCTGGGATTATCAAATGCAAGGCTGTGATGAAAAATTTGTTCAAATAGACAGACTTGTCCTCTGAACTGTCACCATTCTGAGGAAGGCCACCCCATCTGTATGCAGAGCTAGAGGGATGTGCCTTGGACGTTACAGCTAACAGGTTCCTGTCCCATGTAACCACATGGCTCCTGAAAATAGCCAAATTCTTTTATTCAGGTTTCATTTTACACTAGAAGTATCATACAGTCGCTGACACCAACAAGTAACAGAAGTCTTGAATAAACTTGGATTTGTGGTCAAGATGGAGATAAGGGAAGAAGGTATTTCTCAACAATTTTTGAGAAAGTGTATAAAAAGAAGAAGCCCCTTGCACATGCAGAAACGTGCCATTTATGAGCAAACATGCATACAGACTTACATTTCAGACATTGACCAGGCGGTGTGATTACTGCAGTGAGACTTTTTATTTTAGAGTGTGTTCAGTGTATTTAGATCCTGCTCATTGCTTAGGAAAGTGAAACTGAAGTACACTGAAAAAAATGAGCTTTGTCTTATCTTGTAGTGCCTGATGGTGATACCACACATGAGCTGTATTTAGAAAAAATCTATCTTTAAGTGGTGATACCATCATTGTTGGAACATATGTCCTCTGTTGGTGTGTTTTCTAACACTGGGGTGACTTCGTGGCACTATTTCTTATGTTGTGATTTTTAAACTTTTTTTTTTCATTTCAAGCTGTGCCATTGCTGTTTCATCATGACTGACCATGCATACCATTGTGTTGGTCTTGAAATGTAACCAGATTTTCACCAAGTGCCTAGTGGTGCCAAGTGGCTGGTTGGGAAAACCAGAGGAAAATGATGAATTCATTTCATGATTATCATAGGGTGACATCTTCATAGCTTCTGCAATCAGTTTTCTGTGACTTTAAGTTATTTAAAAACAATTGGTGAAGAACTCAGTACTTTAAAGTGGATTCTTCTTTTCTCTATCAGTACTAGTACTTTAGCTAAACGAAAAAAACTGTGATAGAAGATAGTGAAGATTGGTTTTAGACTACTTGAAGACTTTTAAAGGAAAGAAAAATCTATATTTCTTACTTAAAAAACCACATATTTAGGGGTATGTTCTGATAAGATTGTGGACAAGTCTTTTGTAGTGCTATTGTTTCTGAGCTACAGCCTCCTGGCAAACGTAGGTTATAGCACAGTCACAGTCACACACTTTTCAAAAATAATCCTTTCTGGATTTGGTCCAAACGCCCAACTTTATGCCCACTGGGCATTTCAAAGTGAAAATACTGAGCAAAGGCGCAAGAGAATTAAAGAAACTGGCAAACCTACTAAAGACAAAGTGGGCAAACTACAGAAGAAAAATTTATCTAAGGATTCACAAGTCTTAGTCATGGAGACGAGTGATACAGGAGAAGTAAATTTGTATGCTGTCATACTTACTTTCAATCTGGTATTTATGCTAATAACACTTTTTATTATGCTAATAAAACTTTGCTATATGATTGATATATTTCTTTTAATGACATCTAAAATTTCCCTCCTCCTTTTGGAGTCTTTGTAAAATATAAGGAAACATTGGAAACCCTCAGTTTCCTTCACCCTGCCCAACCTTACTATTATTTGCATGAATGCATTCAGTGAGGAGGGTAATGCTCAGAAATCAGGTCACTACAGCTGATGCATTAAAAAGACGTAGCTCAGATAGAAACACGGGATACAGGAATCTGTAGTCTTGTAGGATGCAAGGATAGAAATACTTAACAAAGTGTATTGCTTGCTATTCCAGGATTCCGAAGGAGTGGAAATCATGCTAGGAGTCTGTGCAAGTGGACTCTTAATATATCGAGACAGACTCAGAATAAATAGATTTGCCTGGCCAAAGGTTTTGAAAATTTCCTACAAGAGGAACAACTTCTACATCAAAATCCGACCAGGGGAGGTAAGGGCATCCTGGTTCTCTTAAGTGGATAAACCTCTTGAAAAACATACGGTTTTACTGATTTGTTGGTGTGTTTTGTCCTATAAGCTTTTAACACCCCTCTCCATTTATATTTCTAATTTATGCTGATTTTCTTAGGAAAGGTTAGGTACACACTTTCTTTAAGATACAGGTAAAAGAAATACCTTGGTATTTTTCTGTTTACATCCATGAACTAATGTAAGGAATAAATATGGCCATCTGCACGTAAAAAGCTCATCCGTGTTATGAATACTTTGGACATTTAAGTAGCATATTGCTTATTCATGGAGAGCTTGTTGTCCTCCCTCATGTTGTACATGCAACTGGCATTTATCTCGGGCTCTAAGAGATGTAGACAGGCCATACCAACCCTTATAAACATATCAGACCAGTATATTTACAGCGTTTTGGGTAGCCGCACATATTAGCCCTCCCAGACCCGCAGGAGCTCCTGTTCTGGCTCTGGAGAAGGGGATGTGAAACCTCGTACAGTGAGTGCCCTCTCGTGGCTCAGCCGGAGGCGAAGCAAATACCGACCTCATGGGCTGAGCATGCGCCCTCCCAGAAATCATGGATGTCATGGAAGGGTTTGGGTTGTAAGGGACCTGGAATGATCATCTAGTTCCAACCCCTCTGCTGTGGGCATGGACACCATCCACTAGACCAGGCTGTCCAAAGCTCCATCCAACCTCGCCTGTAAGATGATAACTCTTGAGAAATTCAGGATCGTCACAGGTGAAGGAGGATTTCCATTTTAAATGCTGGTACAGTAATTGACCTGTGATAGATGAAATCCCCGTATCCATTTAGAGTGTAGAGCTGTATAGCAGGACAGAAATCACTTAGTTGAGGACTGGCATTTTTCCCTTAATGCAGCCAATGACTGGGACTGACTTCATAACTGACCTGGAAAACTTGCTGGGGCTCCCCACCCCTGAGCCTGAGCCTTTTTTAGAATCCTAAACCAAAATCCACAAACCTACATCTCCTGCCCCTCAGCAGACACAGTTTTAGTAACCAAATTTCTACCGTTGAATTTGATTTTAAGAACCTAAACAAATAATTGTTGGCATTCCCAATGCCTGAACTGAAGCACTCCACCACTGCTACCCTTTGAGCTCTGCTGGTCTTGGTACACAGTATCCTGTGACCAGGCCATAGTTCCATGTGTAAAATAATCAATGCAGCCTCTGTCCAAATTACATTTGATGATAATGTGATTCACTAACCCACATCATCTTTATTATTTTGTTGTTTCCTGCCTTATTTCCCTGTCAGCTTCCGTAGGGATTCAGACTTCCTTGCAAGTGCCTTTCTGTCTACCTTTCCCCCATCACAGCAACTCTGTTTTACCTACTCAGCTATCTGCATGTAGCCATCAACATGTTACAGCAGATATAGCTGGCACAGCTTCTGCATCTGAAATATATAAATTTGCAGCACAGTCCAAAGAGGTCTGGTTTTATCTCGGGACAACTCTTTTCAATTACCTGTCTTGCCTCATCCTCCTCAGATGAATTAGCTCCAACCACTGTGATTTACTAACGGTAGTGCTTTCTCTGTAAATATCCTTAATCTAAGGCTGTGTGAGACCAAATCAGTCCCTAAGGACTATTGCTCACCTCCAGCTATTACCAGCCTTCCCACTGTAGTTCTAACTAGTGAAATTAAATCAACAGGGTAAAACACTTGAATAATGTTTTCTCAGAAGTCTCTGAAGTCTAAACTGATCTCTTTGTTACTGTAGGGTATAAAACATCACTGTCACCGTAAGAAATCTCTTGCCCATTACTAGTGTTTTCCCCCAGAAATTATCCTCAAAGGTTGCCATAGATTATCATTTACAGCTTCTTTCCCAGAATTCTTTCTGTAGAATATGGATATATGTGGTTATGTACGTGAGCATATACATTCGCCCTTGCAATGAGGTGATACAGACAGAGGAAATGAAGATGAACCTGTGTACACTGTCTAAAAATAGATGCACAGCATCAAAAACATACTTATTCTTTTTTCCTACCTAGTTTGAGCAGTTTGAAAGCACTATTGGGTTTAAGTTGCCAAATCATCGTGCTGCAAAGCGCTTATGGAAAGTGTGTGTTGAACACCATACATTTTTCAGGTATGTGGATTTCTTTTCCTAAAGATGTGATGTAAAACGCAACAGAAAATATCAATTTTGTCAGCAGAGACAAAACCCTTCAAACCAAATTGTCTTTTTGATCATGAGGTACCTCCAAGCAGATAAAGGAACATTATTACTTTTTCAAAATTTGAGATGTTGCACCCAATTATTCATACTGTTTCAGATAGATACTGCTTAAAATCACCATATGGTCCTAATTAATCACTTTGCTTTATCTGTGCCACGATATTATCAGCTGCTATAATTAAAGAGATTAAGGACTCTGCTGCACTACTGCATATAAGCTTGCATAGGGAGATCAACTTATATGGAAGATTGCTGGGGAATGTGGGTAAGAGTTTAAAAAAGTAGGTTTGTTTTTTTTTTTTTTAAATTATATATGAAAGTACAGACAGTAGTAGGTCATGGTTTCTTTTGGTCGCCCAGAATACACAGCCCATAGCTGTAATTTTTGGATTACTAAGGAATTTTGCAGCTATTTTTTTGACTTCTAGGAAGAACGGAGAAAAATATGGGATAGGGAAATAAGTGCTGTAATTAGTTTGTGCTAAGATAGTCACTAAACAGATACTTAAAAAGGGAAATCCAAAAGGGTGAAATTTTCAACAGTTTGAAAGGGTGTCCAGTGCTTAAGAACCCCCTCTGGGGAATGTTTGGGAGTACTGAAGAATTTCCTTGCTTTCTTAAAACTGTTAGTTCAGGCTGTCTGTACATTCATATGAAATGCAGTCTTAGCAGCAAAAGATCTAAAGAGAAATGGAGTGTGCATTTTTGGAGTATTTTCTGATTTTTAATGAAAAATAAATGTCTAAAGCATAGACTCCATAGCAGGAGAATGGCTTTTTCAGCCAGCTACCATGCACAAATTACAGAGGGTGGGAGAGCTCTAACCTGAAAAATGTCTACACCCATGTAAATGAATAGTGCCTGTCATTCACTGGAAATCAGTTCTGGCCCTGTCCTCAGCATAACATCACCATGTTAAATTCAAAGAGATACATCTGCATTTCAGCCCAGCTGGGGCCTCTGGTACAAGGAACACCTTCTTTTTAGTTTTAGTAATCAGAAAATAGTAAATTTGATTTTCAAGCATGAAGGAGCTGAGTGACTCTTGCCCATGTGGAAGAACTCAGATCTTCAAATGCTTTAGCTAAGTGGTTTTGTCATGCTGTATGAGGGGCATCCTTTGATTCCCTTTTAGCCACAGACCTCTGAGGCACAGGTCACGATGGAGAGTGATACCCAGCAGTCGTCTTCTCTCTTCTTCAGAAAGAGTGGACTGATTTTGGAGGAGGGGAAATAACAGGTGCACTGCTTGGTGTGTTTTAGGCTCCTGCTGCCCGAAGCACCTCCAAAGAAGTTCCTCACGTTGGGCTCCAAGTTTCGCTACAGCGGCCGGACGCAGGCCCAGACGAGAAGAGCCAGTGCCCTCATAGACCGTCCCGCACCTTACTTTGAGCGTTCCTCTAGTAAACGTTACACCATGTCTCGCAGCTTAGATGGGGGTAAGGTCCTCTCAACCGACCTTATCAAACATTATCATCACAGTGGTCACTGCTTTAGATTAGGGGTAAACCTCATCATCTCCTGTCCTTGAGATTTGGCTGAGTGGAGGCTGTGAGTACCTGCACGTTCACTGCCAGGGTAGAGGAGGATGCAGAGGAATTCCGTGCTAAATGTACCGCTGTGGTCCTTACAAATTGTTTGGCTGGAGGATGTCTTTTGGAGCCCACTCTTCACAGAGCCTCTGTCTTTGACCTCATATCTGCTTCCCTGATTTGGGGAAGGATGGGATGGACCTGCCTGCCCAAGAATGTCAGGCTTCAACACTTTTTCAGGGTTTGCATGAGTGACTGTTTGGGTTTTGGTTGAATCTGAGATTTCCTTCTGTATAGGTTTTTCACGTAAGTTTGTTACAATCCAGAAATTATTAATTATGTCCCTTGGGTAGTAACACTTGATTCCAGTTACCTCACATCCTGCTCCAATAAGCACTAAGAGACTTTTTTCATATGTTATTTTCAAAGGTATGAAATGCAGAGTAACATACATAGGTTAATAGTACATCCTTCCTCTCTTTATCCTTGCTTCATGGAGGTCATGGTTCTGCTACTGACTTTGGTTAAATCAGTGTGTAGTTCAGAGTATCAGCTACTTCCATCTGCTATTACTACTGTCAGCTGTTGAATAAAAAGAGGCTGTAGTTTTGTAGTTTATTTTTGTAGGAAAACAAAGACTGAGACTAAACTCAGATTCATTACAGATTAAAAAGGTGAAATCTCTTGCAGAATATCACAAATTGCAATGAGTATAGTTGGTGGTGGGGATGGGGAGAAGCTTTGATTTAAAAGTACACGTGACAAGACTTTTTCTCTCTCTGTAAAGGTGCTGCTTGTCATTGATTATTTTGGAATATTCTAATTCTGATGTGCTTCTTGCTTGTTACCAAGCAACTGGTGACCTGATTGCTGTGCATGTGTTTCAAAGCAGAAATTATCCTTCTGCATTATTTTGTTTGTAACATCTAAACAAGGCATCTTCCTCTACTCCTTTTGCTTTCCCCTGCCTCCTAAACTTAATCCCAAGAGGCAAGATACCTGAAATGCTTTACCCAGCACTTGTTAGACTCGGCAAGGTTTTTATGATGTTAATTTGCCTAAGTGCAAATGGGGGAAAGAGGTTTTTTAAATCACTGCTTATGATGTCTTCACTAGCATTGTTACTATAATGCAGATATGTCTGTAACATTCTGCATTGTGCTTACATTGTGATCCAGACTCTGTCATTTGTTACAGATGCAAGTGAGTTTATAAATTTGAATAATCCTATTGGTTTAGAAATTAGTTCCCAATAGCCAAGAGCAGGGTCTGGGCATATGTTTAAAGTTTTGATTACATTGTAAAAGTACTATTTCTTTCAAAATAAATTTTATGTATTTAAATCTGATTAATTATTGAGCACTTGCATCCTAAAATATTCTGGTTGGGTCCGCTGAACTGAATATCATCACTTCACAGAATTTTTAGGATAATGAGCTCATCTAACTGGCAGACTTTAGTACTCAATAATACAAGGATCACATTTTCTTTTTCTCAGGTATTATGCCTGTGTTATATCAATACTGTCATTTTCTGTAATGCAGCACGTTACTAAATCTGCATTTGATCTGCATTTTTTTATTCTGACAGATTTTTTTTAAAAAAATCTCTTCCACCCCCATGGCTGATGTCATAGCTGGTTCTCCTTATGTTTCCTGCCTGATAACTGTGGCAGTGCATTGCTTTTTTTTTATGTGGTGTTTTACTACAGTAGTAATTTTAACAGCTTGCTAACATTTAACAACTGTGTAATGCACACATTAGCTACAGTAATGTGTGTATACACATCCATAATATATGTCTATGCATATAAAAGCTATGAGCTTCAAGTAAACAGTTTATTTAAATGTATGCACATGCTTCTGGTTTCCTGAAACATGACATAGTTGTGTTTTCAGTGTTATCTCAAATGTTTTTCTAAACCAGCTTTTTTAATTTTATGCAGCTTCTCAGCAAAAGCTATTTCAGATTTTCCCTCTTTAAATATTTGCTTTTAGCATCAGTGAATGAAAACCATGAAATGTACATGAAGGATTCTGTGTCTGCTGCAGAGGTTGGTACTGGCCAGTACGCCACAACAAAGGGCATCTCTCAGACCAACTTGATAACCACTGTGACTCCAGAGAAAAAGACAGAAGAGGACAAAGATGATGAAGAGGGCAAAAAGAAGAGAGCAGAGGAAGTCACCCCGATTTCAGCAATACGCCATGACACCAAGGTAGAATTTTCAGGGTTTTGTATTAAACAGGGCTGCCTTGAGAGTGCTTGGAGAAACACAGAATTTTTAGGGAAGAGGGAGAAAGAGGAAATAAAACTAGTTCTATGAAAGGAAATATACTGTGTGTATATACATGTCTTGAATCAGTGTTTTTGTAGTCCTTTCAGTTTTCGTATGATGTTGTAAAGGTTAGTTCCTGCCTTCGACTTCTTTTTGAAATAAGTTTAACAGTCAGAATGATGTTTTTCACAGAGCATGCAACAGCTCTTTAGGAAATGCCCAGAAATAGCCTGGCCGTGCATGTTTGTTCCTCTGGTTTTCGGTCATATTTTGACTTCAGTATGGCCATCCTGGTTTTTTTTATTTTGACAAAGCAACAAAATAGGTCTGTATTCTTGTATGTAGCTCTGTGCTTTAAATTATTACTCTTATACTTCTCATAACACTGTTTCCTTGCATGAATTTCAGTGGGCATTTTTCCTCTATTAACTTCTGGATATTAATCTGCTGTTATAAGCAATTTTTTTCTGGCTTACAAAAGCATTTGCTTCACTTGTTTGAAGTTTCTGTTGAAGAAAGCATTTTTTATTGATGGTTCTCTTATCAGTTGTTAAATTTGAGTCATCCCTCATCATCTTCAATCCCACCACCACACACACATACATACATGGTTGTGCATAATAGCTACTGAGATATTAAAACAGGGTAAACCAAACAGAAGGATGGAGAAAATAGTAAATAGAGATTGACAGTGAAGAGGAATATGGTAGAATAACATTCAGAAAGTGTACTGTGGAATGCACTTGCTAAACAAGTAAGGTTTACCCTCAACTTTTAGGAAGAAAAACCTTGATATATATATATTTATATCCACAGAACTGTCAAGTATGCAAATTTTAGAACCTGAACTTTTAGCTTTATCGTGCAAGGCCACAATGAGCTACATAGCGAAAGGATCAAGTCCTCAAAAAGAGTTGCAGTTAAGGTACTGAAAACCAGAAACAAATTGAGTTACTGAAAATTGCAAATGAGAAAGATTTTCTTTTGAAAGTGTGTGCTGTATTGTAGCATTTACAAGATAATCTCTACAAAATTTAACTGAGGTCTTCTTGAAACTCCATTAGTTTCCACATGGAGAAAGAATGATGAAAATAGAATATGTAGAAAACATCCAAAAGAAGCTAGTTCTTTTCCAAGTGTTTGTTAATTTAAGTCAATGGAGGGATCAGTTGCATTTTGAAGATCATTCCTTATATATGGCTAGAAATACTCAGAGATATTTTAGGAGACTAATTTGATAGAACTTATGTATGCACAAGTGATTGATTTTTACCCCCACACAAGACATGAATTCTTTTTAAAACGTCATAAATAGAGTTTCAGTTCTGTAATCCTACAGAGGTCTAACCTGCTAACAGATTTGTCTGTCATCATAAAGAAAATGTCTCAAGAAACACAATACAAGCTCAAAATCAAATCCCTTTTAAGGGCATATAAATGTTTTAGGTATGTTTTCAGCTTTTCCATTAAGACATTTTGCCTTTGTTTTATCCATGTGTATTTAAATACCAGAAGTTATTCTAAATATTAACACTGTAAAGATGTTAGCAAGGGAATAGTCTGAATTAGAAAAGAATACATTTACTTTGGATTTTTGTCTTTACAGTAAAGGGAAGTTGTATTTGTGTGTGTATTTAGCGCACACAAAAACCTGTGAGTCCATCAGCATTAAGTTTTGACTTGAGCATACTACATTAAACCCATAAAGACATTTGTAAGTGGTTTGAAGCTAGTCTTGGTTCTGATTGCTTAGTTTGGGAATACAGATTCCTTGAATTGATAGATTGTTAGAGAAGAGAGAAAGGGAAATATGAAAGAGGAAGGAAAGGAGTTCTTCCATATAATTACTTGACTTATATCCTATTCCTACCATTAATATACCTAGTAAAGTTAGGGCTTAGTAGCAATCTGTGTCTAAGACTTGAATCTGCTTTTTGCCTCCAGTTCAACACCAGCTTAAACTGGAAGCAGATGCTGTTGTGGCTTTTAAGTAATTTTGCTTTTGGGAGCCTGGAGTGAAAGTGAAATGGCTATTATAGCTCCCTGGGGAGATGTAGTATGGATGGAGCAGCTCAGGCACTCAGGGCTTGGTCATGGATCCAGTGGGCCACTTCAGCTACATGCACTTGGTGGATTTTGGCCAAAACATCTCTGATCTATCAGCGTTGTGGCAGATGTGTTGTGCTGGGTATACATTTTGGTCATGACAGTGGTTTTTGTCCTTCTAAAGAGCAGTGGTGTCTGCTTGCAGGGAGCATGTGAAATGAAAATCACCATTTCCACTGAATCACCTCCTTCCTCCTACCAATTTTTTGACCTCAAATGACCTGAAAGGCCAGTTGAATGCCCTACAAGTGGCATATCAAAGCAAATCCTGCTTGTTGGTAGCCAGTATTCTTGGCATTGTGATAAAACTTGTAGCAAAAGCATCAGGGGCATTTTTGCCTCTTCACTATGGGTAGAGGATTACATTTTGGTTATGAGAAGATGTGGCTGTGTGGGGCAAGGATCTCTCTCTAGCCAGACCCCCTTCAGATCCCCAGTGAGAGATTATAGGGCCTGCTGAGCCACAAGTCTCAGCTCCCTTATTTCAGTGTACGGCCGAAGGGATGGCAGCATGGAGGGGCTGGCAGGGTGAATGGCTGGGAGGGGCTGTGCCCCCAGCACTGCCTGTTTGGGCTCACAGTGAGCAGAGGTGAGGGCAGGGCTGTGGGGGTGCCCAGCAGAGTCCAGTGGTGGGAGTCGTGCTAAGGAACCGGCTGCTGGGATATCTGTTGAGCAGTTTTTTCCCATCAGGAGCATTGATGAATGGATTTCTGCTCCCCCCACCAAAGAACAATGTGTTTTAATTTGGTTTACAGCCTAGATTTTTTTCAAAATATTGTAGTTGAGGAATTTAAAGTCCTTGGAATTTTAATTATTACTGCTGAAGTTGTCCAAGGCATAGGTGGGAAGCGTCTGGCCCCCACCAAGTCTCCTCCTGGCTGCAAAAATGCTGTCACAAGTAGTGCTGGTATTAGAAATGTTTCCTTCTTTGTTGCTCTCCATGTACTTCATGTTTGAAAACTCTTTATGATCGAAAACCAATCTTGCAGTAAGTGGAAATTGGCAACACCTGAAGCTCCCCATGTGGCCATGCAGGCTTTTATGTAAATCCTGAGCTGCAGAGGACTAGACAAATGTTGAATCAAGAAGTTGCCTTTTGTAAGCTGGAAGCGTGATTTGCTAATACCTGTGGTGTGGGGCATGGGAACATGCACCATTCAGTTCAGTGGAAAGCTGTGGTGTTAAAATACTGTCTATAATTTAAAATATATAATATATATTATTTATCATCACGGAAGAAAATTAACTAATTACAGTTTTCTTTTTGTCCTTTTGCTTTTGCGCCTTGTTTGCTGCCCTTTCTCTGTCACCAGCCATCTTTGCTTGGCACTGACTCCCACCACTCCTCGCCATCCTCCTCTCAGCCTGGCCCCCATGTATCTTCAGCAAAGCTTCGCAGGAGATGCAAGGAGAGCACTCGGACAAAGTCCTTAGGCTGTGAGGCCCCCAGAGAGAGCGCTCCAAAACACGGCGAGTCGGAGCCAGACTCTGACAGAAAGGGGCGAGTTTGCTCTGCCGAGCAAGACATGGCTTTTGGCTACAGGCAAAAAGCCAGCAAAGGCGGAACACTGTTCTCCTTCTCCTTGCAACTTCCAGAGTCATTTCCTTCCCTCCTGGATGACGATGGCTACCTGTCGCTCCCTAACCTCTCCGAAACCAACCTCCTGCCTGCCAGTGTGCAGCACTATCTCCCCATCCGCTCCCCCTCCCTCGTGCCTTGCTTCCTCTTCATTTTTTTCTTTCTGCTCTCTGCCTCTTTCTCAGTGCCATACGCCCTCACTCTCTCCTTTCCTCTGGCTATGTGCCTCTGCTACCTGGAGCCCAAGGCGGCCTCCTTGAGTGCCTCACTTGCCAATGACCTGAGTGACAGTTCAGAGGAAGAGGTGTGTACCTCGGCATCGAACACACTCTTTTTCGTGTTCAGTGCTTCAGTCCTAACCAGTGTTAGATTGCTGCAATAGTGGTCCTACTTTCAGAGCCTCATTTCTGTCTGTGCTGGTATGTTAGAAGGGATTTCTTTTTTTTTTTTTTTTTTGTTTGGGGGTTGTTGTTTTTTGTTTTGGTTTTTTTTTTCTTCTTTATTTTTTTCTCATGCTGGGAGTACAGCTCAAAGCCCAGGGTTAGGCACAACACTGTGTGGAAGAGGCTTGGCTTGAACTGTGTCAGTTGGTTCAAAGCAACTTGCACTAAATGATAAGACCTTTTTCTTCCCTCTATCAGTTTAGAATAGTTTAGGGATAGAATAGTTATCTAAATAGTGGGTATTAAGTATAATTTTCTGCATAATTACTGAACATCCAAATATATGAATATGTATCTACATTTATTTATATGACTAGCTGCCTAACAATGATGAGCACCCTCACCAATTTCAGTATGTTTAAAGTCCAGATAGACTCAGCTTTTTGCAAAAGTCTGTCAGCTGTAGCTGAACCCCAGAAAAAGCTTTCTGGTCCAGCAAAACCTGGATCTTGATTTTCAGCCTTGATCCCATCTCTGCTGCAGATTAAATTGTTTTCCCATGGTTAAATCCAGCGTATCATTGAGGGGTCATATTGGGACAGCTGTTCTGCAGCTGTTGCAGGAGCATACCATGTGGGCTGTCTTGACATTTGCAGTGTTATATTAGCAGTGCCAAAACTGATGCCTTAAGCCACCAGGGTCATCAGGGGCAGATGAACCAGCTGCAGTAGGAGTCTGCTGTGGATGTGGTGGTATATCCAGAAGTAGGAAAGGAGTCTGCTTAAGTAACAGAGTAACTGGCATCTCAGTTTTTGCTGGAGCCTGATTATTCTTTGTTGACAGAATAAAATAATGAGTTCAGTTTTTCCTTGATTTTCTATTTTCTTCTTCAACTTCAAATACAAAAGTACGGTTTTGCTTTATATATAAAGAAAAAAGCCCAGATCAGATGATCACAGACCAGCTGGCCATCTAAAAAGCCACCTTGGCCACTTGTCGATAGTCCATTGCAGTAGCTCTCTTCAATAAACCAGCTTGAACATTGTCATCTGCTGCTGTTGGTTTTGTAAGACTTGGTGCAGGATTTCATTTCCTTTTTATGGAAAGCCAAAAGTCACATCAGTTTGTCTTGTAAAAACATTGTCTTTAAATGCTTTTGGCTCTGTGATGCCTTACAACTAAAAAATATTATACGATTTCTAATAAAGGGCATCTAAAATGCTGCTGTCTTACTTCTTGCCCTTATTTTGAGACAGCATTTAGGTCTCAATTTGCATTAGCTTTGCACTTGGATTAATCTAATAGCAGTAACAGCATTAATATAGTTCCAGCTCTAGAGGCAATAATGAAGCAGCGTTTATGTAATACATTAGTCTGTTCCCCTTTCAGAAATGAGCACTTCTTTTTGTTAGTAAAGTTAGGAAGCATTGAGCATAAAAACATCTAAAATAGGCTTTTTAGTATCGCTCTTTTATGAGGGTGATCACTCTGGCAGTGATTCCTGGCAGACAACACAGACTTGTGCCTAATCCATGGGGTATTTCTTGTTCAAGATATTGCATGAAAGTGAATATGTTTTCAACTCGGGCATGTCTGCATTACATTGGCAAAACAAATCACAGCAATTACGATCGCAAGGTAGGAGAGGTGCAGCCACAGCACATCAGGAGAAGCTGCCTCTGTCCTGCTCCTGCCCTCGCCTGCCTGCCAACCCCACCTCAGCTATACCTCAGCCCATCTTGGAGCTGAGCCTGGCCTTTTTTACTCTTCACTCCACAGCAGACCTGCCTTACTCAGCCTTAACTCACCATTCCCTGCTCTGTGATAACCCCAGATCTTTATTTCAAGTAATTCAGTAATGCTGACTTCTACTCCATGGCTGTTGATTGGCTGATTAGCAGATATGTATGTTGCAATAAAGCAAGGTTTATGCTTTATTTAGGATTTCATTCCACTTATGGCAAAAGAAATAGGAATGTTTCCCACCCCCCACAGTTCACAAAAGATTGCACACAGAGATGCAGAAGACTACAGCCAGTATCCTGAACCAATGCCTTACATTGTTGAGCTTGTTCTCCCTTGAGCTGTGCATCTGGAATTAGTCCATGCAGTCAAAGACAGAATCTCACTCCTTGGAATTCACTAGCTTCTGTGTTTTTACCTTAGCAGCTAATTTTCTATTGACTTCAAATTCTTAAAATTAACCCTATATGCCAGACTTGTATTACAGTGCCTTTACACAATTTTTAATTATTTTTAAATGCCTAGATGCATTAATTCCTCTTTGTTTCTTTTTAGTTTTGTAAACAGGAGTGACAATGCATACTTGTTTTTTTTTTTTTTCTATTGCCATACCTTTACAACTGCCTATAATGTTATAAAGACATGAGATTCTTTGTTAATAAAGAAACATTTTTCTAGCACTTTAGTGAAAGCAATTGGACCAGCCTAATAGACTGCTTTGACATTACACTCCCATTTAAAAATAAATGTGGTCTGTCTCAAGAGTGGTCATGACTTGAGAAATTTCATGTAACTTGCATTCAGGCACTTAGCAAGTAGTGCAAAATGCTTGTTTATTCTTCTGTCTGTCATACAAATAATACAAACTCTTCAAAGAATAAAAAACAAAGCTATGAAAAAAAATCAAAACATTGCCTTATGAAACAATGGCGTTCTCAGAAAATGACAAAAAATTGGAGGACATTCAAAGCTAAGACTGATACTCCATCCACCAGTGGGTTGTTCTTTTGTTCTTGTTCATATTGATGTGATTGGAGGATGAGATGTGTTGTCTTGGCTTTAAATTGCCTGCCTGGGTTGCTGTCTAAGGACCACAGAAAATCAGTAACGAAAACCAGAGCTTTCACTGCTATCAAAACAACTTGGATGTGCCAGTCTGGGGCAGTAGGGTGCACTTTACTTACTAGTTTTCCATATGCTTACCTGACATCAGAGTAGTTTTTTGAAATCTTTTCTCAGTGTGTAGTAACCTCCACTCCACTCTCTCTTAATCTTGACACTTGTGTCCTCCACTGAAATGTTCTTCATGCAAAGCAGGGATAAATCAGTCTGTGCAATGCTGTGCTTTGTTTCATTTTTATCACTCATACCTAGTAAGTGTTTGGGGGGTGGGGGAAGTTACTTTTGTTTTTCTCCTGCTTTCATCCATACTCTTAAATGGAATGAGAAGTATTTTTTTTCTTCTTTTAATGGCAGTTTTCTTTCTTTATACTATCATTAACAATTATCAGCTGCTCTTTATTGGAACCGAGTGGGATCTGAGCCTCCACAGACAGACAGTAGATGGGCTGGGGGTACGGTTCTTTGAGCTCCTTGGTAATGCAGACAGCCTCATGGTGTGTAAATGTGGAGACAAGAATAACCTCTGTACAAATGAGGGGCTGAAAGTCAGATGACTGTTAAAGTAGCTTTTTTGTTGTTGTTGCTTTTTTTAATTATCTTTTTCCCCTCCAGATAAAAATTTAACCACTACTTTATATTGGCTAGAACAAAAAAATTAGTTCAATAATTTTCTGTAAAAAATCCTTGTGGGAGGAAAAGTTCAATTAGAAAATATTAGTCACATTTTTTCCCCTTTTTTTTTTAAGCTACCTGGTTTTCTTAAGGAAGAAAAAAAAAAAAAACCTGCTATTCAAATAACACTTCCAGTAATGTTTGGCTTATAAATTTGTTCCACTAAAGCCGTATACTGTGTACAGTACGCCTGGAGTCTTCCTCTGAGTCTGTTCTGTTTACTAATATAGCATTTTTATTTTGCTTCTTTGACATGTGCGTTGTTTGAAAAGCAATGCTAATGCAGTTCACAGGGATGTTGAGTTTAACAAGTTCCCCGTGTGAGCCGCGTGTACTGATGAGCTGGGTTTATTCTTTATTCCTGCCTTCCTCTCGGGACCCGGGTACTTGTCTAACCCAATAGACTGACAGTGAGCAGACGGATACTGCGGCTGATGGTGAGACCACTGCCACCGAGGTTTGTACAGTCGCCAGCACCCAGCTATGGCAGGGGAGAGCGTTCGGCCTCGCCTCTTCCCGACCCTGGGCCTCGGGGCTAGACCGCATGTCTGCTACGGCAGCTCAGGATCCCTCCCTGCGCGTGTGTGCATGTGCGTGCCTGCAAGTGGGAGAGCTTTGCTAGGACAGTTGAGTTTCCAGTGCTCCCTATGGGATCCTCTTATTCCTGAGTGGTTTGGAAGCTGCAAGGCCTCTGCGTTGTGCGGTCAGTGGGGCAGTGGCGGCATCACCCGCGCCAGTGCTGCCCACCCGGAGGGCTCTGCTGGCCAGATCGTGCCCTGGGGTTTTTTTGTTTGCTTGTTTGCTCTTATACTCTGAAGCCCGAGTGGGAGAGTGGGGAAAAGACAATAAAAAGCTGTTTCTTGAATTTACTGAATATTCTCACATTTTAAATATCTAAGTTTTTTCTTTAATGTAATTTCACATGGCATCTTCACATATGGCCACTACTAGTCCAGGTATTCTTTTCAGAGGAGAAATGTAAAATGTTCATATTTTCCTTACACTAAGAAGCTTCATATCCACAACATGGTACATAGGCTGTGCAGGCGAATTCAACCTTATGTGACTTCACTGAAGTGCATATAATGCTTTCATAATTAATATGGTTGCAGCTGCAAACATGAGCTGAATTTCGTCTGACATCTGCTAGAAGACGGAGTCTTACCACAAACACTACTCTAGGTTTTCAGAAGGATCTCATTAATATTTGAGACTGTTAAAATTATCATCAAGGAAAAATTTTCTGTATGACACGTCAGGACGATTCAGCGATGGCTGTAAATAGAATAAATTTGAACGGAGTTGTAAAGTAATCAACAGATTTTCCCATGAGTCATTTGTCTAATTAGGACTATATGAAAAATTAACAATAAAATAGCAGCATGGGCATTAAAAGAATTCAAACAGTGCAACAACATAAAGTCTGTTGAGTCAGAAATACAAAATGCTTTGAAGTGCTTCTTCCACTCATAGGCCTTGAGCACTATAGAAAATAAAACATAACTATAAAATTGTGACATTTTAAATGTGCAGCTTATAATTCAAAAATATGTGTAAATATTCCTAGTTGCCATCTTTAGTTAAAGATGTAGCACATATCAGTTGGATACAGATACCTGATTTTCAAAATGTGTGGTATATCTGCCACCTGGAAATTGCACCCTTGGAAACAGGGCTGCTGGGGCAGTTTTTATGGTGTTGCTTTTGAAAATGTGCACTGAAGTGGATGGGATATGTGTGCCATTCCAGATGATAGGTCCTGAAAGAATATATAGAGGCTAAATATGAAATAAAATTGCAGAAATACAGAAAGGGACTATGGTTAGGGAAATAGCATTTTAAGCAGATAAAATGTGCTTCTTTCTGTAGAAAGTGTTGCAGGTTGTTTGCCCATGGTTTATGCAAAGCTTTGCTTGTGGCCCAGATTATATCCTATGCGTAAATTCTGGGATTACAGAATTTCAAAGCGTTTGCTGTTGCTGTTCCGTCCTAGACTAGCCGTGACCTTGGTGAGAAGGTGCAGCTGCCGCTCCATAAATAGAGATTTATGAATGTGGAGTGTAGCAATATTTATAAAAGGAAGATGTTTAACGCCCCTTTGATAACAAAACACAAATTTGAGGAGTGGACATTTGCTCTGAGTTAGGAAGACTATGCAAAGCCAGTATGTCTACTCCTTCTCCTTAAACCCTTAATGAGGAGAAAATGGAACTTTAACCTAGTGTGTACCTCTCACCAATGTTCGTAAAGCCTTCATTCATACAAGTGGGTAAGGTGTTGTTTTCCAATCTTTCTCATGCTGGCAGTCGGATCAAGAGGAGGACGGAGATCTAAAGGCACAGGTACAGAAACAAAAGGTCTAGATGTTGCTCAGGTACCAATGTTGGAGGTGTTCGCCTCTTTCAGCATGTTACTGTCGGTTCTCTGTGAAGAAATGTGTAGAAACAGCATTTTGTATCCTTTCAATACTGTGTCCCTTACTTTTCCCTTTCTTTTTCACTTCTTTCAGAATAGTCTGATTAAGCGAATACAGGGTGAAAATGTGTATGTCAAACATAGTAATCTTATGTTAGAGGTTGGTATTGGTATATACCAGTGCATGTACGTACATGTGTGTTAGTTTTAGTGGTAAACTGTGGATCTGCACTATGATGCATGAATTGTGTACTCCCACCTGCTAATAGATTATTTTTTCTCTCAGATTATGATGACTCCTCTAACCTGTACTATCAATATCAATATATGCGTGTGCCTCTATGTGTGTGCCTCCACGCGCATATGTATGTTTGTTTAGAGCCTCTTTATCAGGTGCAAATTACAGCAATATGGATAGGCTCTTTAAGAGTGTACTTAGACTCACTTGTACGAGATATGCTATGCTGTTCTCTTTCAAAATGCCACATTTTCACAGAGTGTTGTGTTAGTGCTGTGCTCCCCGGCTCCCTGAGCTGTTACTTCCCTCTATACTAACCAAGTTGTGTGTTTTGGCTCTAAAGTTTGGTTGGCTTAGGATGTATCACAAACTGCTCTATTCTTTTAAAACTGTCTAGGATCTAGACAAAACCCAGGAAGATCTGATGAAACATCAGACCAATATAAGCGAGTTGAAACGCACCTTCTTGGAAACCTCCACAGAAACGACTGTGTCTAATGAGTGGGAGAAGAGGCTTTCCACATCTCCCGTTCGACTTGCAGCAAGGCAGGAGGATGCTCCTATGATTGAACCACTAGTGCCTGAAGAGGTCAGCGTGAGCTGAAAGGCTTCATTATGTATTTGTCTATGCATTTTTACTTATAGCAGCTCTCACTAGATTAGAGGCTGTAGTTAGAGGCCCATCCCTGCTTGCAGGCACTCCCTTTTCTCAGGACACAGACAGCAGCGATGGAAGGAAGAGTAGATACCATAAATATACACATATATAAATATATGTGTATATAGAGAATTAAAATCACTGGAAGCCATGTGGCAGAACTGGGTCTCTCTGAGGGTGCAAAATACAGGCATTGTTACAGGTTCGGTGAGCTTGAGGAAGTCCAGCCATGCGTGAAAGAAACCATGAAAGTGATGGAGAGAAAATTTAAACAAAGGTGACTGGTTGGGAGACGTGGTGTAGTGAGACAGGTGGGGGCTATGGTGCCAAGCTTGAAAAGAAAATACAGAACAAAGGGCAGAACTATCAGTCTCTGAAAACAGGGAAGAAATAATGATGATAATTAGACCTTCTTGGCCAGTTCCATAAGGAACCTCATGGTTGCTACAGTCTGCTGGATACTGTCATTGAAGACCCAATGCAGATTGCTAAGTATCTGCATTTTCCTGCAGTGTGTGTGTGTGTGAAAAAATCTTGCTCACTGTGCAGTCTTGAAGTGCTTGTAAGAAACTTGCCAGTTTAAAAGCTGGTGTTTACTTCATCTGTAGGTAGATAAGAACATGTGGGGTAGCAAGGCAGTATTTGTGTTGCTATAAAATACACAATGCAGGGTCTTGGCTTAGGTTCAGTGGAGCAAAAAGAAATAAGCTTGTGTGGTCTGCCTGAAAGTTGGGTTTTTTTTATTCTATTATGAATGGATATCTGGTTTCTGTCTCAGAGGAATTATCTTTATGGGTTCCTCTTGGTTTTAGCATTAAAAACCAATAAATGGTCATGAGATTTTTTTTCTGTGCCCACAGCACTGATGTAATGTTGTAGGGAGCTCAGTAAAAATTGTCTGGAAAGTGTAAATTGAAAGAGTGTTCTGCTTTCTCACTTCAGAGGTTGGTGTTGCAGACCCATAACTCTGGGGAAGGGCATCCCTGGAGGCATGCGGGTAGCAAGTGTCAGCTTCTCCTCATAGGGAAAGGGATATTGCCGAGGAAAGGGGTCTCACCTCCTCCTCTCTCACAATATAACCAGTGGCTCATGCTGGCACCAGATGTGCATTACTGTGGCAGCCATGTGTGATTAAAATATGTAAAAAAAGCAGGCTCAGTGCTTAAAGCTTCCTTTTTGAGGGGAGCATGGAGGAGTTTTAGTATTGCTCCTACTGCCTTGTTCAGGAATCATAACAGGCCCTACAAACGGGTTGGTTTGATTGTAGTTGAAAATAAAGGTTTATGCTTCTAAAAAGTAAAATTGTAAGTACAATGAGTAGGATGCATTTCTCATAATAATACGTAAGGAGCTGTTGGAAAGGGTGGCTAGCTAAGCCTGAGTCTGAGAATTGCAGGGGGAGCAAACTTTGCACCACCCTGTTTGTTTAATATCTTTATTACTTTAGGAATGTAATAAACAGTTTTAATTAAAACACACAAGCAGTATCAAAGCTTACACAAAGCTGTATTACACAGCTATGTAGGCTTCACCCTGAGGAAACACATCTGAATTTAACCATTCATTTGGAAAGGAAAAGGACAAGAATTATGCATGCATCTAAGTAATAAATCTGTTTCACAGAACCTCATCCAAATGAAGCTATTTCTGTGGAAAATTAATAACAGACTTGAGCTATCAGAGCTTAATTTGGAGGTGACTTCTGCTATAGATAACACCTGGCCATTCCTTTGGTCCCAATAAGTGAGATGGTTTCAGTTCACATGTCCTGATGAGAGGGGATTTTTTCAGGAAAAAGCTGAAGCCATCCTTAGGTCAAAATCCACACTTTGATGTCTACTGAGAAATGCAGAGGCAGTCAAGATGGTGTAGTGCCTTCTGCTAGTCAAAGTTACACATTATCCACTTTAAAAATATGTTTGGTGTTGTTACCTGTAGCTTCTTCTTAAAATAAAACGAGAACAGAAGAGAAAATATGTCTTTTCAAAATGTGATCTTCAAGCATGTGGCACCTGAATGTTTGGTCAGTGTGACTTCAAGCCACTGGTTGCCGCTTGGTTTCTAAGAACAGATGGGGAAATAATTTGGTTTTCCTTACTACAGAAAAATATAGTTTTAAATATCTTATATGATGGTAGCCAGATAGCTGTAGAACATGAAAACCATCATATTGACAAAGTCTTTGACAGTGTTTAGTCTGACCTAAATTGGATGAAACCAACACTAGGAATAAAAGAGTTGTACATCTCCTCGCAGTCAGGGAGTTGAACCATTTATCCCTTTCTGGTTTCATATTTCTCTTTAGATTTCTATCTTTCCTCTTGATTATGTGTTCCCTTTTATCATGCCAGTCATAGGACTTCCATTGACATATCTATTGAGTATAGTAATTACTGAAGTCACTAGAAAGGGTTTGGCAAGAAACCCATTTTTCTCTGCAGGGACTTACTTTCTCTGGCCAAATGACAAGAGTGGCCAGCCCAGAAGGTGGGCTCAAAAGCCTTGGGAAATGTCTTACCTACATTTAACATTTTCTCAGTTGTCCAAGACAGAGAGATACTCTTACTATTCTCATAGCAGTGGGAGAGCACTGATGGGATAAAAGTGAGGAGATTTCACTGTCACACTACAGGATAATAGAACAACAGTTAGCTCCCTCTGTAGGAAAAGTGCTCCTAAGACTTCTAATACCAGCAGTGAAAAAGGGAGAGCTGAAATCATGGCTGGGCACACCTTCTGCCTGCTCCAGCAGAGAGGGCTGCAAACTCAGGAGAGAGCCTTGCCCAGAGTGAAGGTGCAGGTGCCTGTTCTGGGCTGTTGGTGGAAGTTGTGTGAGCTGGCATCAGCCCCAGTTAAATAAATCATATGAAATGAAACAAACACAGTGCATCCGCACCTGGGTCTTACTCAGTTTAGTGGGGTTTGTGCTACACTTGTGCATACCATTTGTATACTCATGTCTCCTTTGTATTCACCACAGAGAGACACTGATTTCACTTCTCATTGGAAACCTCTGTGCTGCAAAATGATTCTCCTTAGTTCTGTTTCCCAATTTTCCATGAGATTAATAATTTGTAGAGAAATATGAGCTACTGTGAAGTATAGTATATATACCCTCCATTTACTAAAATCATTTGTTCCCCTGACATTAGACCAAAGAAGAAACAGAAAAATCAGAAAAACTCATATTTTTGCAGAAGGGAGGTACTACATTCCTTGAAATGCAGGTAAAGACAAACAATACTTCATTGAAATGCAGTCAGAAAGGATGGCAATGATTTATTTTTTTATTATCTTTTTTTCCTTTCCAAGCCCTCCCTTTTCATATTTTTTTATTGTTATTATTTAATAAGTTCCAGGCAGAGATATAATCTGGAGACCAAATTCTGAGGAATGGGTCACCTCCAGAGCTTATGGCTTCCTAATGGAGACTGATTTCTCTGCCAGTTAGAAACCTACTTGCACGGTGCTGTTTGGATGTTGTTTGCAGTTTGCATGCATTTCCAGCATAAACCTCACGGAGAACGTTACGGTGAATGAGGCACTTCTGTCACGAGAATGCATTTCCTTTATATTGTCAACTGAATTTAGATTATGCTGAGTGATGGTGAACTTTATATTTTTGTTGGTTTTTCTATTAGCCAAGTGTGATAGAGAAGAAGCTGCAGGAAGGAGAATCTGCTGGCACTTTGGTTACTTCTCATCAAATCATTATCCAGAAAAGTATCCCATCATCCCTAGAGGTTATTTTTAATTAATTTGATTTTAAACTACATCATTTGCTTAGTTAAATACAGAAGTTACAGTCTTAAAGTCAAATAACTGGATGCTGATTGCATAGTCAAAGCAAATCACATAGCACATTTGCACGAGGAAGAAAAAAGATGCTGCAATTAAGTTTCATTCAGAATTTTTAGTTGTATGCTTAGTTTATACAGTTTGTAGTGTTGTGCTTCTCCATTTAAACAATCCTGAACGGTGTTGATGTTCTAATGAAAACAAGGAAATTCAGTGCAGGCTACATACAGAAGAGTACTATTCTAAAACGTCATTAACAGCATGTTTGTAACAACTAGGCTACAGTTGAATGGGCTTATTTGCCCTATTTTTGTAATTTGTTTTTGACTGTAGCTTTGTGAACCACTGCAGTATGTGATTTTTAACCCCAGGTTGATTCCAATCACCACTATAATTATGTGCTGACGTGCTATTTTGCTTCAAACAAATACAGAAATAGTATGGCAAAAGTAATATTTTTGGGCCCATAATATATGGACCTCTGAAGAAAGAGAATATGCAAAGAAATCATATTTTGCCTAAGGTGATTCTGTTTATTTTGCTTGATAACTGCTGTAAGAGGTACAATGCTAGAAGTTACTATATGCTTTCAGAAGAAGCAAAATGTTTTCTTAAAAGTCTGCATAATTTAGTGCTCCTGAAGTACAGATAAACCTGCAGATATTCTAATTTAGCTTTTATATTTCAAATATAGGGCACTGAGGATTGGGTTATTATAGACAAAATACCCTCTGAGGTAGTTGATGGTGAATCGGAAAAAAATCTGGCCTACAAAGTAGTGACTGTGAGCAGTAAAACTGCCTTTCCACCTGAGGTATTAAAATCCAGTACCGTTCTAATGCAGAGCTTTGAGGACTTGGAAAGTGAAATACAATCCAATGAGGAGAATAAGCAGAAAATGTTCACCCTAGGAAAGTCCTATGATACCATATCTGGGAAAATTGTAACCATGACAAGTAAAGCTAAAGAGGGCGAGAAAGCGGTACAGCCTTCAGGAGAAACTTTGCAAAAACTGGAAAGGGAAGTTCAAGAATCTGTGAAAATCATTCCAACAGTGGCCAAGTATGAAATCCTCCAGCCTGTCACTGATGAGAAAGCCAGGCGGGGATCTGATGTGCAGAGCATGAGAAGAAAGCTGTCTGACTCTCTGACACCCATAAAGGAAGCAGAATCTCAGTTGCAAAGTCCCGAAGAGGAGAGTTTGAAAAAGACACTGAGGATGGACCAGGATTTGCAGTTACTTGGTACACTGGAAAACTTACAGCTTGGCAAAGCAGAAAAGCATCTTGGTGGAGAAGCTGTAAAAGCAAGGGCATTTTCCTGGACAGATAAGAGCCTGTCTGAGTGGAGATATTCCAGAGAACAGCCATTTACCATTGCTACTGCTCACTATGTTACTGAGTCGTCTGCATCAAAAGTAGTGGTAACAAGTGGCTTTGACTTCACGCCACGATTTAAAGATAAAAGCATGACTTCTTTTAGGCAATCCCTTCACACCACCCTAGCTTTGAGTTCTCTTGCTGCCTGGCTTTATGTTGACAGCAGCCAACCCAGCTTATTTTTTTTCTCTCATACTTTGAATCCGTCTCACAGTCTGAAGCAGACATTATATAAGGCTTTCAGCCTTTCTGGTTTATGTACTGAAATTCAGTATTGCTGCTGTGGCTTATTAATAGAAGGAAAAAAAAAAAAAAGGTTTGCTTGAACCAGCAAAACGCCAATGCTAACAACTACGCTTTGTAACTATTGCTTACTACAGCCATTATGAATTCGCTCTGATTTATTTTCCCATTCTTTTCCTGTTTCCAACCTCTCCGTGCCCCTGCAACCTTCTTTTCCTCCGTCTCCGCCTCTGGTTCTGGCAATTAATATGTCTGTGCATATGGGTCTGCCTTTTTTCTGTGTATGACTCTACATTTCTTTGTCTGTTTAGACTAAACAGTCCACCAGTGAAAAAACCTTGGATGGTTCAGATATCTTCACTTTAATAGAGTCCGCCAGAAAACCAACTGAGTTCATAGGAGGGGTTACTTCTACTTCCCATACCTGGACTCAGGTGGCTGCTTGATTCCCTCCATCAGTGTCATAAACATGCACCAATTACTTTTGCTTTTCTGTTATTTTGTGGGGTTTTGCACAATATGGAACTGTATAAATAATGCATGTATTTATGTGTGTTTTCTTTTGATTAAGCAGACCACAACAGAAACTTCACCAAAAAGGAAAAAAAAAAAAAGAAAAAAAAGACAACAACCACCTTTTCTTTCATTTCATTTTGGTCATTTCACAGGGTGCTGTATTTTGCCTTTGTAAAACTTATACAAAAATACCAATGAGAAGAACACTGACATCGAAATTTCTCACCACTTTTAAAAATTTTGCTTCTTGCTTTGTTTTCTATTTCTGCTGTACTGATAACATCCTGAGACCAAAAATCTATGCAATGTGGAAGAAATAACTTGGCAAAATATAATGCCCTTTTTTTTAATTTATGTTCACAGTACATTAAGCTTCAGTGCTACTGCAAATAGTGTTGTCTGCTTCTCATGCTGAGGGTTTTTTCCTTTTTCCCTGCAGAGAATAGACACGACAACGTCTCAGGAGATAACTTCCAGTGACATGAAGCAAGCAGTTCAGCCGGATCAGGATACAGTGCAGAAGGTTGTACAGGAGACTGTAGTTGTCAAGGAGAGACATGGGATGGAGGTGCATGCAGGCAGGGATCCTGCTAAAGTGGCCGGACTTACGCTGGATGCCCAGGCTGAGGCAGCATCGGCGGTGGCTGCCGGCGCGAAAGGGAAGGAGGGCTCTGCTGGGACTGAGGGGGCGAAGGAGGAAAAAAGGGAGGAGGCTGGGAAAGCCCTAACCAAACAGGAAGGAGTCGCTGCCGCTGCTTCGTGTGAGCAGGCGGAGGAGCACAGAACAACAGTCCAACTTTCAGAGTCTTTGGAAAGAAAACCTCATTTTGAGGTAACTTGTTGTTAAATTGGTCGTGTCTGTGCTGAATTGTGAATGTAGGCAATAGTAGGCTAAGTTAATTACTGTCTTTGAAAGTTAAGTGTGCCCAGCTTGTATGATTGCACTTTTATAGAAAGCAGGTTTTTTCTCCTCTTATTTCCTCCTTGCATGTCACCTGCAAGGCTTGCTGCTGGTTTCCATCATTAGCAAAATGCCATGCATGTTTTACTTGTAACTGCTTTCCATGCTGCATAGAAATACCAAATTTCATGGCATTTTATGCAACAGATAACAAGATCAGCTGGCGTTCTGTTTGGGAAAGTCCATCAAGGTTGGCAAAGTTCACATGTCCCCAAAGACAGGAAACAGATTCTTTTTTCCATGCTTGGTGTAATTATATGTAAGTGTACTGTGTCTTAAACAGACCAGGTTCCTTATTTTAGCCCCATTAGTAGAATTTCAAGAGCTGTTTTGGGCAGGGTTTTTTCCCCAGAGATAAAAAGACTAAGCCTGGACAGAATTAATTCTCTTGTCATTTTAAGAAAATGTAGAATCACAGATTCTCAGAACTGCTGAGGCTGGAAGGGCCCTCTGGAGGTCCTCTGCTCCAATCCCCTGATCAGACAGGGACATCCAGAGTGAGTTGCTGCCCAGGACAATGTCCAGAGTACTTCTTCTGAGTATGTTCAAGGAAGGACATCCCACAATATCCTTGGGCAACCTGTGCCAATGTCACTCTCACAGTGAAAAAGTGTTTCCTCATGTTCTCAGGGAACCTCTTGTTGTGCAAGATGTGACCATTGCCTCTTGCAGTATTTAGAGCATTTTGAACTTTGTTTCTGTAAAATCCAGGGAAGTGCTAAATGTCAACAGCATTATATACATGAATGTACCACTGTAATTAAGAGAATTTTCTCTTTTTTTTTTTTTTAATGTAGAACACTTTTTAGTTATTCTTTCTTTGCCCCAAGTAAAAAAAAAAAAAAATTTCTGAGAAATCCATAAGCTTTGCTAAATGTTCCAATTCCTTCTTGTTTTTGTTCATGCAGTCACCAGTTGTGAAGACTGAGACTATAAGTTTCAGCAGTGTTCCCGCTGGTGGGGAAACCCTTGAAATTTCAACAAAGGAAGTGCCAGTAGTCCATACAGAAACAAAAACCATTACATATGAGTCTTCTCAGGTAAGAAATTCTGCAAAAAACATCTAATTTAATGTGCCTTTAAGGAACCCATTTATTCACCCATCTTTAAGTGTATGCTCTAGTGTGAACTTTTCTAAGTTGCTCAAGTATTTAACATTAGCATGAGGAGGATGTACATAAGAATAACTTACCTGAGGGTCACTCTCACGTCCTGGTGTAGGGCCTTTGCAGAACATTGATGAAACTGCAGATTTAAAAACGCCATCTTCTCATCTGTGCTTCCAGAGGGGAAGGACAGCCTCCAGATGCACAGAGAAATACTGACACATGGTCACCCTAATAGCAGTTTTCCCCTACCATAAGATACTCACTTTATGAAGAACTGTAGAAACAGAGAAGTTTAACAGTCCAGTTCTTGATTCCCTGTGCTCAGGATAATTTTTTTGGTGACTGGTTTTTCTCTTCTGTTTTCTAGGTGGATTGCGGTGCTGACTCTGAACCAGGTGTATTGATGAGTGCACAAACAATCACATCTGAAACCACCAGCACTACAACTACTACACATATCACCAAAGTGAGTCCTCGGAAAACAGGGAGCTCCTCTTTCACCAGGGTGTATGCTATCTTAGCTTTGGTTCTATGGTTTATTTCAGAAAGGAAACACATTCTGATACTCTATTGACAAAATGTTGTAAATTTACCATAAATACTTGTCTTTATTCACCTGTCTTTGGCTATGTGAGTTGATTAACACATCATCCAATGACTTGACATGAATCCTAAACCCTTAAGGTATGTCTGTGCAAGCACAAAACCTTGCTGTACAGAAACACTTTATTTAGCTGCAAATGCTACCTGGAACTGGAAAGAGTATAACCACAATGGCGTATTCCTGGAAGGAGTATCTTGTCTGAACATGAGGCTCTATTGATGACTATGCCTTTCAGCACTGAGATTAGCACTGCACAGTGTTGAAAGCACAGAGTGAATCCATATCCTGTAGCCGTAACAGGACATTCAGTCAGCTCCAACACCTTGGCTGTGTTTCTGGCTGGTACCCTGAGGAACTTGCCCACAGTCAGACCAGAAGCTCATCTGCACAGACAAACCATGCTGTCTTCCAGGTTCTAAGGTAGCATTTAAATAACAGTTCCTCCCTAAAAAGAAACTCTCTTAGTGCTGTGACAGCTCTCCTACCAGTATTCACTGAGAACAGGATTTCATCTTTCTACAATGAAGTTCCCCCATTAGTAGATGAGCCATACAATGGCCATGCCACCCCGTATGCCATTCTGAAGCAAGCAGTTGGACTTAAATAGGTCTGAATATGGGGCTGTCTGTATTCCCATTCTGTTTTTCATGGGAAAAGTTTGCCATTTTTGACATACAAACATCTCTCTTGATGCATGTGCAGATTAACTTGAATTATAAAATTACCTGTGTTGGAAGGACATCTGGAGGTCATTAGTCCATTCAGAGCACTCAGGCCAACTCCAGAGCTGCTCACTTGCAGTCCAGGTTGTTCCCTCTTTGAGCTGTTTCAGTTCAGTCATGAGGGGTTCCTGCACTGATCATTCTGGGGATGAGTAGCAGCACTCTAAAGTGAGTTACTGACGTGCATTTTTGTCCCTCCCATCTAGACTGTGAAAGGAGGCATCTCAGAAACAAGAATTGAAAAACGAATAGTCATCACAGGAGATGCAGATATTGATCATGATCAGGTAAAATCTACAAACTGCTAAAAGGCTACCCTGAAGACTGAAAAAGAGAACATTTCTAAACATTGCTTTGACAGATATTACCCATACTGGCATGCCTTATATTAAACTGGAATAGTAGTTAAATCAGTGATGGTATATTTCATATTTTAATCATTTTCCTCATTTGTAAATTGTGTAATATGTCATGAATCTCTCCACCTTGCTATTGATCATGCATGTTCCACCTCCTTTTTGTTTTTGCCCTTCTGTGGTTTCCTTGGGATAGGCGCTGGCTCAGGCAATTAAAGAAGCCAAAGAGCAGCACCCTGACATGTCAGTGACCAAAGTAGTGGTACATAAAGAGACAGAAATCACACCAGAAGATGGGGAGGATTGACCACAGGTAAGAGGACCAGATGATTTTCCTAGGCATTTACTGGGCTGGCATGTTGCAGATGTTGTTTTCCTACCATATTTCACCTTTAACTCTTCACTTTCTCTCACTGGCATTTTCAAGCTGCTAGTTATCAGTTCTGATATTTTAAAGTAAACCACATTCAGCTGTAGACATCTGCCTTCATTAAACAGTGCCAGCTGGAGAAAGAGAAGCTACTCATTTGCTTTCGTTGGCTCTCTGAAAAGTCCTCATTGTCCATGCTTTGTTACAGTCTAATTTTCTACTTCTGAAGTCATAAAAAATCTGTTCTCTGCTTTTGTGTCATTTAAGAACAAAAACAATTTGTTCTTAAAGGTGTGCATTTTTGTTTAAAAATGCTGAGGGAAAAAAACCTACAGCTGCTTTTTAAATGTCTTGTGCAGATATGTTAAAAGTTGTGCTTCAATTCCCAACTTGCAAAGATATGGTCCAACTTGCTTTTAAACGCAGTGAATTAGTTTGTCGGTATTTGGGTGTCTTGGCTTTCTTGTACTTGAAAGAACATTTAATGTTTTAAAGCAGCATTGTTTATCAGGATGAGATGATAATGCAGCTTTCCTTGCGTCCAGCTTTTTCTCAGCAAAGGCATGCTCTCCAATAGTGGCTGGCTAAACAGACATCTCAATATTCCTATATTTATTCTGTGTGCAGAAACATGTCATGCATACTAACCTGCTATGCAAAAGCTCTTAATGCCAGCACCATTGCGCAAATTGCTTTGAATGCTGTATGCAGAAGGGGAAAAAAAAGCTGCTTGTCAGATTTGTTGAATCAATAGCAGCATTTTATTCTTAAAACAATATGTATTCCCTAGCACTTGGTGTAAGTAACAGAGTATAATGCACAGCACCTTTTGAAGCTCTTTGGCTCTCCTGCTTTTGGATATACAGACCCTAAAGAAAACTGAATTTCAGTGTCAGTTATTTATTTGGAAGATGGAACCAGTCACTAAGGAGTGAGTAGCTGTGATTCTTGTGGTATTCTGCTAATTGTTTCAGAGACAGCTCAATGTGGCTTGCTTAAAAGTCTATTGATGTCGCTAATTCTTTCCATTGGCGTCAGTGGACTTTGGATTTGGTCCAAGTTGCTTATAGTGGGACATGCCATTTTCAAACAGCTTTTCTTGTATGAACAAATTGACAAATCTCTTTTGCAAGAGAGTAGTTGCTTTGAATAATTAACTCAGTTCTCTTTTCTGCAGGAATGACCTAGAATGCATATGAATCCAGACATGCATACCAGTAGGAATACGAGAACCTATACGGAGTCTCAGTTCCAACCTGACTGACTTGTATCTGTCTATGGAAAATTTCAGTACAGAAGAATTGATCTTGACCGTTAATAAAGAAACTGGCAGAGATACCTTCCCATAGAAAGCAATCTGAATCAGCAGCAGTTAAACAATATTGCATGAAGCAACAATAAAATTACAGAAAAGCAGCATTTTTAATTTTCTTAAAATGTCTAAGTTTTCAGCTTTACCTGCACGTTCATAAACAATATAAACAGTGATCTCATGTAACACATAAACAGTTCATGCCTTTCACAGTTTCTGAAAGTCTAAACAAATTAAAATTTGTTAGGTGGCAAGCCTTTTGTTTACGGATACTGTAAATGAAGATTACCCCGAAAATGCTAGAAGCTGTATAGGTACTGTGTATAATGTTTTACCACACATTAGATGTGCCAATAACACAGTTTATTCAGTAAACAACTTGAATCTTATATTTGTTTCATCTGGTTTTATTACTGCCCCATAAACAATGATGAATCTTTACTCTTATCAAAACATATAAATGCTTACAAAGTGTGCTTTGTATACCTGACTGAATACCTTATGAGGTAGCAATGATTTTAGTATATTAACTTTAATGATTTTTGTCAGCATTGTTCAGAGTCAGCTTCCAGTCACCCTTCACAGATCCTAACCTTGTAAATTATATGTAGTTATTTTGGAGGAAAAAAAAATCTGTATTTTACTTAGTTTGCAGCTTTAGAAAATTATTAATCTGAAATAACCGTGATGGTTTTCTATTGATTTCCCTTTTGTTCTCAGAGAAAAAAAAAAAATCTGTTTGAGAATCTGGTCAGCATTTACTATCTAGTTCTGAGTCAAGCCTTAACCTGTACAGAACGTCCACTGAAAACTCGCTAGTGTCCAGCTCTAATACCCACGGAAGGAATAGCGTCCATTACACTGTCAGCTGCATCACAACACATGGTGAATGTATGTTTCTGCATAGTGAAATAAAAGTGGTAAATGCATCTGAAATTGTATTGTTCTGTGTCTAAAAGCACCTAGTGGTCCTTAGTATTCAAAACATCAAAATGTTATGTTTGTAAGACACCACAGGTTTCACTCATGTGCACAGTAGATGTGTTTTGTCTTCAGTGGCTGACACTGCACTGTGCAGACAGTGGGAGTTAGTGGAGAATCCAAAGGGATGACAGTGTTCACCTTTGGATGTATGATGTTTGCAAAGGAAAAGGACTGTTTGGTTCCTTCTGTTTTCTCTGGTTGTGTAACATTTCACCGAAGATAAATGAAGAATTTTGTTGTTGCTTAGAAAGTAAAGGCCAGTAGCGCTTGATCCAGATCCACTCTCTTTTTGTACTTTGGCTCTGAAACATGGATAAAATTCTCTTTAAAGCAGTATTACTTTTTGGTTCCTTTTTTTTTTTTTTTTTTTTTTTTTTTTTTCTTTTTTTATTCTCCATCCTGCCCCCCGCATCTCACTGACGCTCCCCTAGTAGTTTAAGAGAAATTTGTAAGGATTAGTTCACCCTTTAGTCTGTATTTCCTTGCAGGATTGAAAGGCAGTGGGTACAAGCAGACTTTTCAGGACATAAAGGGCCAAATTTGCCCTTCGTTGTTTACACGGGGCTCCCTCCCACTGAAGTCAATGGATTTGCCTTCAGTGGAGAGCAGGATTTGACCCAGTGACTTGTTAATAAATGTTTATTTTCATAATTTAGAAAGAAAAATAGTATATATAGAGAGAATAACCTGTAGATAATAATTAAAAGTAATATCACAAGACTTTTAAAGCTTTGCCCTTAGTCTCCAAAACGTCTTCCTTCCACCAGCCATTCTTCATGCCTTTAAATCTGGAGTGCTAACGATGTGACCCCTCCCTGCCCCGCCGTCATTGTTACCTCTCACCTAATGACCGACACAAAGCTGACGGTCTGCTGTGATCTTTGATGGCCCTCTCCTCCTCCTCCTCCTCCTCCTAGCCCAAGACCATCTCTGTTCTCATCCCCCTGAGTGACAGTAGGCTCAGCCCTCTGGTGCTGCTGGTGCCCAGCGGCGGTCGGGGGTGGAGGATGTCCTCACCCTGTCTCGGCCGGTGGCACACCAGGTCCCCACTAGTGCATCAGGAGTTTAAAAATAGACTCTGAAGCCATATTGATCCTCCTTCAGGTGCCCCTCATGTTGTCAGCTAAGGAACAGCATTGTATTACCTCAGAGAGACACGAGGCGATCTCACAGCTTCTCTCCAGAGTTAGCATTATATTTTAGCATGGCTTGAGGAGATTGTACTCTGGTGATCCTGCACAGTATGTACGCTGTCTAAAGATATATTGCATTGTAGGAAGTTAGTCTCCTTGGAAAGGACACTCACCACTAAGATACCGCCTAAGCGCATATAAACTATGAGGAGATGAGAGTGGACAGGCAAGGACATCTCAGTGCCACTGTTGGTAGTAAACCCTTGTTTGGGGGATGGTTCCTGGAAGTTATAGCTTTGGTTTTTGTTGGAAACTGTTTCTTGGGTTGTCTGCCTAATGCTGTGCCACATGAAATAAAGAGCACCTGCCTGTTTCTACCAACCAGCTTTTGTCTCCGTCTCTTTTCATTTATTGTTGGTCTTTGTCCGGCTTCTCAACATAAACCAACCTGGAAAACAAACCATCAGTGTGTTAGTTGTGGGCAGCATTGCCAGCACAGGCACCAGCATGGGAGGCAGCCTTAGCTGCTACAACTGGAATCCCAGCTTCAATCCTGAGAAAACTGACTACTCTGAGCTATTATGGTAATGGCTTTGCACACCAGGCAAGAATGGGCATGGCCAGTGACCACAGAAATAGTGACCATTACACATACAGAAAGAGTGAATACATCACACTGACATTTTTTAAAGCTGCTTGGAATTCCTTAACATTTATGCCCCTGAAGTTTTTTAAGGCTGTCTCATCACAAATGGCAAGTAATGGTGTTTCTGTGCTCAAGCAAATATAAAAAACACTTAATGAGCTTCTAAATCCATATACTAGATCAAAGCAAGGGTTTAACAGCTTAGCCTTATTTCTTCCCAGAGCAGATTTAGGCAGCTGGTGAGATGGTGTGCTTCATCTGTACAACAGTTTGTATCAATTTGCAAAAATGATAGTCCCTGATACATAGTTCTTCATGGCATATAAATTGGACATTGAGTCCACACTTCAGTTTGGCAATCGCACTGGCAAGTCTTGCTGCAGGTTTCTTTCCTTATACCAGAACAGTTCTGTCAGTTCAGATCAGAAAACCCATTTACAAACTTCACCTTTACATGTTCACAGGAATTAAGGACAAGATAAAGAAATACATTCGCCTTTTTTATACCAGAGCAATAATGGTCAAGATTCTTCAGAACTAGGAATCAAATAATTATTTTTAATAATGTTTCCTGGTTATTAAATGCTGAGATCTCCTGCAGGCCTATATAGATCCCAAGGTACAGTGGTGGTTTGAGGTACTATGGATGGACTATGGCTGGACAAGTGGATTGCTTTGAGAAACACTAACTCAATTTCTTATGTTATTTTTAAAGAAAGAAAAATAAGCACTTTTCTTAAATCTATAGATTCCAAAGGCTGTATCAATCCTACACTGCCAAAAGTGGGTTTCTGTGTCTTTTGTCACTAATGTTATGCTACATCAGCAAAGTCTGCCTGTGGTTGCTCCAGTGCCTTAGAGCAACACAAAATACCAGCCTTCCTAATTAAAACTCAGTCATACTTAAAATGACTGTTACTATTTATGCATCTTGTAGTTCCATCTCAAGGATTTACATATAGATGAACAATGGGGCATCTTGTTAGTTTTTCCATAAAAATATTTTCCATAAGTTTCTGTATTCACTAACTGTAACCAGATTATTCTGGAATAATGTTAGCCCCTGCCCAGACTGTACATTAGTCTGGTTTATGCCTTTTGTTTCCATGCTTTTTTCTGACTCCTATTCAACATCAGCCTTGCTCCTCAGCTGGAACTTATGGTTCCTGAAAGGGCTTCTGGAGCAGAATTTCAAAAATCATTGTTTAAAGAGAAACCAATGTGCTCAAATTACACAAAAAAAAAAGTCAGTCAACTTTCTTCCATTATCTCATGTTCCCAAATTCAGCTATAACCTCCATAAATCAGTGACCTCACCCTTGCAGCTGAAATGATCATCACTCACTGTAAGTAGAATTAATGGCCTGTCTTTGAGCATGACTACAGTGACATAAAAGGGAAAAGAAAAATGAGAAAGAGTTCTGACACTGGAAATTGTTTTCATTTTTAAATACATTAGATTTTTATTTCTACAGTCTACCAGCTCTACTTTCTCCAGTACAAAACTTAAATTACAAATCTTTTCTTCTTGGGTGGGGTGGGGTTTTTTTTTGTCCAGAGTTGGCTAGGAATTTCTTTTCTATTTTCTAGAAGTATCTCTGCTGTCTGCTGTGGTGAGGTGAGGTGTACCATGACTTAACTTCTGTGCATAACCAAAGCTTGGGCAATGTCAACTAATAGGAGCTGCAAAAAAGCAGATCCCAGAACGTGCGCAGGTTTTGAGCTGCCTGAATTACAACCCAGAAGGTGTGTTTCCACACAAGTCTTGCCTTACAGTGAACATGTAAAGTACTGGCCATGTGTTATTTGGTGGATAATCCTGGGTGGCTATAGTGTAAAAGATACAAGATTAGACAAAGCATATTAAAGGGCTCAGGGAAGGGTGTGTCATAAATTGTACAAAAATGCAAAGAAACAAAGCAATATGTCTGAGTATACAAAGCAAATAAGACCTTTCAAAGCATTTTCTAGTAGGAAAAGTCCATAATATGATGTTTCCTTAAATCAAGGGTGTTTCTAGCCCAGGTGTCCTTTCTCAGTGGATTTATGAGGCTGTTTCTCAGACATACTGTTTTTCTGGCCAAACAGTTGATGCATTTGGCATACGAAGGCTTCTAAAGGCATTTATATTCCTGTAGTCCAATCTCCAATCAATATACAACTTAGATAGATGTAAATCATTTTTATAGTCGCAGAGGTGGTGACAATTTAACCACTCATCTTTGGAGCTCCTAAATCCTAAGCTATTGGACTAACATACACACATACAGAACATTATTTGTTCTAAGAGTATCTTGATGAAATCAACCTTGAATATCCATTAAACAATATATTTTTCTTTTGGTTTGTTTCTTTCCATTCAGAATGCCATCTGGTGATTGACATGTAACAAGATATTTTTCCTGCAATCAGATAAGATGTCAGTACAGGTATTTTTGACATATCATTCTATAACAAGGAGCAACACAAAAACACTGCAACATGTAGCCTGATATCATAGAAATAAATTACTGACTTGAATACCTGTGTGATATGGTTCTTGTAATGGGGACACGTCTGCTTACTCTGGGAAGACAGCCTGTAATAGTTGTCCCATCACCTCCCAGTTATTTTAAACTCCTTTTGTCCCTTCTTGCTTGTTTTCATATTCTCCAACTTAATCCACCTGTATTTGATCTGTCAGGTTTCTCTCTGTATCTTTTCTTCTTCCAACTCTTCTCCCAGCTTTTAAGCAAACTGCATCTGATGCTTCTCTTTCTATTAATTTTGCTGTTGCTTCTCTACACCTATCAACCTTCTTTAAAGTCTTACTAATTCTCTGTCCTGCAGTCTTCCCAACTCATCCATAACCACT